ATTCAAGTAGTGCCATCTTGGCCAGACAATGCAGTAACATGGTTTCTCTTAGCCGAAGCTGACTTCTGTGAACATGGAGTCGTCAACACACGTTCATAGTCCATTTCAATTATGCGCCCTCTGCCGTGGGCGTTGCATAAAGGGGTCACAGCACAAATGTCCAGTCCAGAGGCTTGAAGCAGCCGTCCTTAAGAGAAAAGATTTTTCGGTCAGTCAGAATCCTGATAAACTCTTTCATGCTGTCCAGTTAAGCGATCATTCGGCTGGACATAGACCTTCATGAATGCGAAATTATTAGCCAACCTAAGTTCGATGAGGAACTCCTTAGGGGGTTGTTCTTATATAATTTACCACTGCCGGAACAGCCTGTGCTTGTGACACTTCAAGGTATCTCCATCGATGATTTAGCATCTTCATAGGATAGAATTCAGGCGCCGGGTTCAGGGTGATCAAGAATGCTCTGACCCGGGGTGGAGGCTCACCATTGCAGCTCAGTGGGTTGAAACTCACGACGGACCCTGATTGGATGCGCTCGGGCGTGTAGATTTTGTCAGTAGGGATGCCTCACAGTCCTCCCTTTATTTGTGCGTCGGGGGCACAGCGGTTAGGACTCTCGCCAACCATACATATGGTCCGTGGTTCGATCCGCTGCCGATGCACACCTGATATCAATGGTCGGCCTGCAAGATTTGGGCTACGGATATCACATGCTGAAAATTCCATACTTATGTCAAAAATACGGTGTGGAATCAAGCTATAATCAAAAAATCAAAAAACATCGTAGCAACCGGTTACTGAAATATACCAGATCAGTAAACGGTTTTCGGGTAGTGACACTGAAATCACAGCGTAATGCAAATCTGTTAAGCCATTGCTTAAATCACGCAGCCCCTGCGTTTTCCTATTGTCAATAAAAGTCCCCTCCACGTAGAAACTATTGTGGTCTGTCGAAATCCAAACCACACTCATATAAGAACCCTCATTATTGTTCATATCATTATAGGTATGGCTAGGGAGCTAAATGGTATGAAAACCCTGTAATTTTGGCAGAGTCAATGACTATTTGAAACTTTTCTGCCAGCACGCGTTAGCAGCAACCACCGCCAGGGGAATTAGCCTCCAGCTTTACATTCGAGGGGTAGCTAATTATGACAATTCATACTTCGTATAAATGGGTAAGTTTGCAAGAAATGTGTGCAATTTTAAGGGCACGATCAGTTATCTTATTTATTGCAATTGTGAATTAGCATAAACCGGCACTTTTTTAAAAGTTTAAATTGTTGAATTATAGTACAGGCAATCAGAACAGGTTCACTAAGGTCACCACCAAGATCTAGCGCCAACCCAAACTTTGCCCCGTTTCCTACTGCTAGTCATGATCAGCCAACAAACAGCTTACATTCGTGAAACAGCTATGCCCTCTACATGACCAAAAGGCTGTTTTAGAAAGGGAAGAACGTCCTGGGAAGCTGCAGAGTGGTATAAAATACAATTATGGATAATACATCATCGGAAGTGCATCTAAAAGATATATACGAGAAGGAGCCACACAGTCCTTGGAATGGTAATATAAATTTGCAATGTTTGATGCAAACCATATTGGTCTTAGCATGGAAACTGTTGCATTTTCGATGAAAATATAACTTTTCTCAAACATTGGTGTTGTTGTTATGTTTTTTTCGTCACAGCAAATAGATTTTAAGCAAGCGAAGAATGTGAATGAAAAGAGTAAGTTTTAGCCTTATTAAAGACCTAGGTAGTTAAGATAGAATATAGTATAATGGTACTTGGATAAAAGATTATTCTGAAGTATATGGGAGATATTTCAGTGAGAACTGGCCTCAAAGATCTGAAAGATCAGAACCTGTAGGATATGCTGACCTGTAAGATGTCTGGTGAATTTGGACATGGCCCATGAGGTAACATCTCGACAAGAAGCTGAGCAGGCTTGTAGATGTTAGGGGCAAAAGCATTTTTGTTCGAATAATTTAGATCTGTACAGTCCTTATTGTTTTCTAAAAGTTATGTTATGGATCTATTCTTTTGTTAGGAATCTAGACTTATGTTTAATTGTCGAGCTGTCAAAAATGTTTGTTTCTGTTCTACAGATTGGGGCGATTCACATTTTTGACCACTACCATATCTGCTAAGCAGCATGCGCCAAACTCCCGGTACTTGGTTGACACTGCTGTTGAAATCAGCATCCTCCCTGCCACGGAGGTAGATAATCAGAAGGATTCTACCCACAACTTAAAAGGTAAAAATAAAAACTTCGGTAGAAATAAGTCTATCTGAACGTAGTTTCACGCGAACCTATTCAGTCGATTTTCCTTCTTGCTGATGTCAAAATACCTACCATAGACATGGATCTACTTAACCATCACTATCTACTCGCGGATTTCCGCCGAGAACGCCTGACAGATGATACCACTAGAATATCTACCAAGGGGAGCTTTTCTTTGCCCTAGAAGGAAGCGATAGATAATCCAACTTTTCAGCCGATTGTTGACAAGAACCCTGAACTTAATTGCCCCTGTAACGACCCGCCGTGCATAAACAGTAATGCTTTTCATCACACTTCAACCCCAGGGTAATCCATGGCGTTCGAAGCACGACAACTTGCCCCTGGCGAAATATGAATTTGACTATTTGCTCACTGTTGGCATCATGCGGCTAATAAATAGTCCATGGGCATCCCCACTTCATACGGTACCAAAACATGATGATAACGACTGCTGACCACCACTAATTACCGTAAGCCGAACTCTGAAACGATCCGAAACTGTCACCCATTGCCTCATATGCACGACTTAAAGGCGACGTTATCTGGTGCAACTATTTTTTCGAAAATAGTCTTGGTTGAAGCATACAGCCGAATCCCGATGGCACCAGTTAACATTCCAAAAACGGCTATCATTGCTCTTGTGGGTGTGACGTTGTATACGCACACTTGGGAGACTGCCTTTTAGCGAATCAGAGCAAGGAAACTCACCAACGACACTTGGACTTAGCATTCTACAAGTTACCTCGACATGGCGTTACCATTAATATCCAAAAGTTTCAAGTAAGAGTGTGACCACTGGACTTTCTTGGCCACACTACTGATTGTAGAGATATCCGCTCAGTGTGTGGTAATGTAAAGGTAATTTTGAACTTTCTGAGGTCAAGGACTTTGAAAAATCCTCGCACACTTAAAGGCCTGCTAAGTTATTACCGTCGGTTTACTCCCAACTGTACCTCCTTGATTCAGCCACTGACAGACCCTCTTCGAGGGATATTATGTGCGTCGAACTCAAAGAGTCCAGTGAGAATGCCTTTCTTCAGACCATCTTGGACGCCACTGCACTTATATTTTGGGATCCAACGGCACCATTAATCATCTTGGTTGATGTTTCCGACATTGCCACTGGTGCAGTCATGCAACAACTGGTAAGCGATAAGTGTTAACTACTAGCCTCTTACCCGAGATGGCTACAGACAGCAGAAGTAAGATTTAGCACATAAGGCGGAGATCCTCTGACTGGGTAGTGTGAAATACTCCACTTTTGACATTTGGTGCAAGGTTGTGAATTCATAATTTTTGCATACCACAAATCCCTCACGTACTCTCTGGACTCAACTTCAGACAGGTATTCAACAAGGGAATCATGACAACTCGATTATATTCGTCAGTTTACATCGGAAATCCGTAATTAATCTGGGGTGAACAGCTTTGCGGCAGGAGCCTTGTCACGCATTTGTTCCCTCATCCAAATAGATGGATAGACCCTGCAAAACCAGATTGACTTCAAAAAGAGGATTGAGAGCCTCAACACGAGTTGTCGACAACATCTCTGCAGTTAGCCGAGAAACCGTTAGATATAGGTAAGAATACTATTCTTTGTGGTATCTAAGCCGGTACTCTTCACCTTATCGCGCCTTAAAGTTATCACCGTAGTGTCCTGAATACGGCACATGGCTTATGTCAATATAGTTGAAGAATGTACGAGCAATTCATGGTTGTTTACTCAAACCCAACTCCATATTTTGGCGGGAGTCACCAATACTGCAGTCATCGTTCCATGGCAGCCTGTATACGGCCATAGGTCAGTTGATCAGCTGATGTCTGCTGGCTTTATTCGTTGAAAATACTTCAAAATTAGGTGATTTTTCGTTGTTTTACGCACTTTTACACTTGTATTGCTGCTAAAAGTTGATGTAATAAGGCGTTTTTAGCATAAACAGGAAATGATGGTGTCCTTATCCGGCCGTAATTTACGGCCAGTTTACAAATTGTTGAATTACGTACTTTTCCGTTCATAAAATGTCGAATTACTTGGAGAGACACATTATAACGACTTTTAGTGAATTTTTCCAGTTTAAAGGATTATACATGGACATGGTGAAGTGGGATAGTTGGTTTTGTTGGTTATTTCATTTACTTTGTTGTGTACTTTTGCTAATGCTGTCCACATGTATTTCATTAGGGGAAATCAATAGAAGTACGTAGAAATTATATACGCATACTATTATTATTTTTTTGCTTGGTATACGTGTGCTCCAATTAAGCGAATATTTTTGATAAATCTTCCTAGACAGTGTTCTCGTCATTTCCGATTTATTTTCTAGGGGCGATCGGCACTGAATAGGAAGCCAACGAAGCGCTAGATCCTACAGGTGAACATCAATTAAGCGATGGACATTTAGCATGTTAGCATAGGGAGACGACCACTAGGCAGCTTACTGCCACAAAACCCATCGGAACAGTTTTAATACTGGTGCCGTCGCTAGGTTTTTACTCCAGACCCCAACAAGGGTCAAAATCCATTATTCACTTTAACGTAAAACTACTTGCAGAAATATATACCTTCCGAGAGTTGAGGTCTGTTTCTCTTTGTATGTGTATAGCTTAGGAACTTGATTTTTCAAAGATTTTTATCTTTGGCTGCTCAAAAGATCCAGCTGATGATTATCTTTGCTTCAGATAGTTGATTTGCTAATAAAGGCTCTGCACTTTTGAACACTGCACTAGCAGTGACCTTGGGCATTTGTGGTACTTATGAATATTTTAGGAAGATGCTTAATCAATAGAATGAATTATTTTGTCTATACTATTTACATTCAATAATACTTCATATAGGCTTATTTCTATACACTTTACAATGGAACGAGATACTATCTTGGAGAACTTCTTAGTAAGTGGAGTTGCGCCCTTGCATTTATAATGGCATTGCTGTGATTCATCCTAACGTAATTTTCTTTTGGTAGGCTTGTACAGGAGTGACAGATATCACTTATGGTATATCAGTGCTGGAAGAACATGACTGGGACCTGTCTGCAGCTGTTTTCAGCGTTATTGGTGATGGTCTCTCAGGTAAATAGAACAGTTTCATGTGTTATAGTTGTATTATTTCAGTTTGCTCTTTTTATAATGCAAGTATATAAGTAGTATTTAGTAATGTAGAAATAGAGGGCTAATCGTGTGTCTATATCTCGCATTCCTATACAAACCGTTAACGTAATATAATAACTCACTAGGGTAGACTAGTTCACGGAAATTCCGATAATCATCGTAAGTCATCAGCTTTCCAAACTCAACATCAACCATATTTATAACTTGTGCTGGGGGGGACGTTTCTTTCTACAAGAGGTATTATTTTCGATTTTTCTTCAAAACTCAGTCTCGGAACTTCCGGCTCAACAGACAACAACAGTTCTCTTGACAGTGGATGGTTGTGTATAGTATTGACAGGTTCTACCACTTTATAATATCCGAATTCAAGCTTAAATCTGAAAGTCGATGGACACACTATGTACTTAGATCTTAAATATGAAGATAAAGTACTTCACAGTACTCACTGTGATATTCTTAGATGCCTGCTTTCCGATCGTCGACGTCGACCAACATGACGTGAAAATGCAACATATAAGTACTTATAATCGGGATCAGCCTCTTTATTTTCATCACGACGAATCCGGTAGTCACGTATTTTATATAAGCTGCCGGTTCGCTACAGTTAAAAATGATAAACCCCATTAGGACAACCCATCACCTCTTGAAAACGATGTATGCATTCTTCGCACTCCTTCCAAGTCCTTAGACTTTGGTAGCGAACTAATTCATTGAATTCTGTGCACAAATCAACTGATACTTCATTAATCCCCTATACCATGACTATATGCATTACCAGTGATTCGAAATAACAGTTGAAATCACCTTAAAAAGTAGCAATAGAACAAAACAGCAAATAATGTTTGCAAATGCCGCTACTGATACTTGTTAGGTGTTATCAAACAGACCAATCACAGGCGAGGAAATCATTTGTTTATCTCACTCGCGGGCACTCAAAATTACGGCCGTCGACAGGCTGCCTCGTTCCATCGTACGCTGTTCGTTAGAAGACGGAGAAATACTATCAGAATTGTCATTATGATTAATTGTTATGACATTTATTCATAGACTTTGTGTATAATAACTTTTTGGTTGGTTCCATACTGGTGCAAGAATAAAAGATTCTCGAGTCACCAATCTGTGTTCTGGTTTTTCGCGTTGGTTATTGCACATTGTTGCTGAAGGTCTTCTAAGGACAGCGTTCAGTCCAGTTTAGTTAGACCTGGACACTCATGCATGTGAACTACCTTTCAAGCTCATCACTGATCAGTTTTGTTGGCCTGGTATAGACAATGAAGTAAGGCATTGAACACACAAGAAGCTCTCTTGGCATGTTATCCCAGATGCTCGCCAAGAGTGCGTTCATACAGACATGGCTAGACCTCTTCCAGAATCTCATGGATATTCGCATATTATCGGCTGCATTGATCATTTTACACGTCGGCTTGAAGCAGTGCCTTTCAGGGACGTAGTTGCTGAAACAGTTGCATGCTTTTCGTGGAGCGATGGATCGTGGATTTTGGAATGGCTTTGTTGCATATCCCCGCTAACTGTAAAGTCGGCATCCGTTTCAATGGTAGTCTAGCTTCAGGAGCTACATTTTTATGTGTTTTTTAAATGAAATTTTGCATCAATAAAATTTTCTGACGCAATATTATATAACTTAGGCTCGTACGTGAAAGAAACTTATTTATTTTTGCTTGTATCTGTGGATTCCATCAACTTTTAGTAGTCAAATCACACAAAAGTGCAGAAGCACGAGTCCACATTCTTAAGTTCCTGAAAAAGAAATAGGTGGTGCACAACAGCTGATTGACAAGTTTACGACCGATTACAGGTTAGCAAATAAATATTTCAAAAGCCAGTCGCTGAAATATACACGAAGCATACTGGGCATACTAAATAATCACACAAATTAAAGCGTCCCGCTGCACAATCAATACATTTAAACTCAGGAACAATACTAAAAAATTCACGTCGACTGTATCTGTCAGGGCGAAAACAAATCAGACTATCAGCAAATCAAATCAACTAAACCGCGGAAATACATGCACGACAAAGCAAGTTTAGCCAATTCAGTAAAGGGATATGCAATGCAGTCACACAAATTTTGGATGCCCATTCCTCACTACGACTGTTCGTGACCGGCAATTTGAAAGCGGCTCACTCTTAGCTTTGACTAAAACCCTAGGTTGTATGTGCTTCAGAACAGCGGCCTACCGTCCTCAAGCAGATGTTATGGTAGAATGTCAACAACTAAAGTTGGAGGCTGGATTGTCAGCCGCAAACACTGTGCACTGGACTGAATCACTATGGATAAACTCTTCGTCCTAGTCAAAAGAGGCGAAGAAGTCTGCGTTAGTAGTGATCTTCTGAAACCGGCCTACCTAGAAGGCAGTCAAGTGAGCCTTCAACAAGTTATTCCCGGTAGTACATAGTTGACTGAGTACCCCCTCAGTACTCCAGGAAACAACCAGCACTGCGAAGGCAATCGAATCTTCAAACGAGACTCAGAAGAAAACACGTTCTGGACGAACGGCAAGATTATCAGAGTACTTCCATACTTATCTTACGGAATAAGACTAAAGTGCCCTACCCATTTTTAGAAGGAAAGTCTCTCCGCTTACGGTTTATATACTTAGACATATAGATTATTTTCCACTGCACCTCGTGCTATAAATTAAAGGTATTTTTTATGACTTCAAATGTAGCATCAACTGCCCAAAATACTTTTCCCAATATTGTATTTTTCGCATTTTTTTTGCTTGGTATACGTGTGCTCCAATTAAGCGAATATTTTTGATAAATCTTCCTAGACAGTGTTCTCGTCATTTCTGATTTATTTTCTAGGGGCGATCGGCACTGAATAGGAAGCCAACGAAGCGCTAGATCCTACAGGTGAACATCAATTAAGCGATGGACATTTAGCATGTTAGCATAGGGAGACGACCACTAGGCAGCTCACTGCCACAAAACCCATCGGAACAGTTTTAATAGTGGTGCCGTCGCTAGGTTTTTACTCCAGACCCCAACAAGGGTCAAAATCCATTATTCACTTTAACGTAAAACTACTTGCAGAAATATATACCTTCCGAGAGTTGAGGTCTGTTTCTCTTTGTATGTGTATAGCTTAGGAACTTGATTTTTCAAAGATTTTTATCTTTGGCTGCTCAAAAGATCCAGCTGATGACTATCTTTGCTTCAGATAGTTGATTTGCTAATAAAGGCTCTGCACTTTTGAACACTGCACTAGCAGTGACCTTGGGCATTTGTGGTACTTATGAATATTTTAGGAAGATGCTTAATCAATAGAATGAATTATTTTGTCTATACTATTTACATTCAATAATACTTCATATAGGCTTATTTCTATACACTTTACAATGGAACGAGATACTATCTTGGAGAACTTCTTAGTAAGTGGAGTTGCGCCCTTGCATTTATAATGGCATTGCTGTGATTCATCCTAACGTAATTTTCTTTTGGTAGGCTTGTACAGGAGTGACAGATATCACTTATGGTATATCAGTGCTGGAAGAACATGACTGGGACCTATCTGCAGCTGTTTTCAGCGTTATTGGTGATGGTCTCTCAGGTAAATAGAACAGTTTCATGTGTTATAGTTGTATTATTTCAGTTTGCTCTTTTTATAATGCAAGTATATAAGTAGTATTTAGTAATGTAGAAATAGAGGGCTAATCGTCTAGTGGACAGGCGAAGTGAAAAAGCATTTTGATGTAAATCAAGATCATGGAATAATAGCCTGACTTAGTGATTAATAGCCGTCTGTATATTAAGGATGTCTGATAGGCAAAACCAAAGTCCTGGAGTACTTTCTACACTAGCTGACTTCACAGAGTAAATAAATCAGTATGCGTTACCTTTGCGGGAAGCTTCATATGACTCAGCATTTGTCGTTATCATTCCTATCCTTCGTTAATTAAATGTCAGAGTACTAAACTTTATTCATTTCCACTCCCGAGTGGGCTCAAAACACGCTGTCAGCACTGCTCAGAAACCCAGTATCTTCTTCGTATTGCTAAGTGACAGCCCTGTTGAACCAATGATCTTCATGTTGTTTCCCTGTAAAAGTGGACTGAAAAGACTCCTGCAGATAGTTCCAGTAATGTTTGAACACGAAAGAGTAAACCAGTGGACACTACTTTCATGTCTATATCTACAATGAGATTACACCAGTAACCAGTCCTTTAAAAGTGAGTTTGGATATAATTGTTCCTTTCGTTTATAGGCGGAAAATAGGACTTTAATAGGACATCTGCATCCCATCCTGTTCTCTTCAGTTCTTTATCAACTGGCTCCACGATTACTCGTAGGCTTTTATTTCCTCCTGCTGACAAGGTGTCCTCCACTTCACCCTCGGACCCCATCCGAAATCATCGTTTCTAATTCGGGTTCCACCCGAGGGGCTGATGCACGATGTCACTCAACGGTCTCCTCAGAATGTGCCCGATCCATCTCCATATTTCGCTAGCGAATAGGTTCTTGGTCAGTTCGTTACCAGACTTTATAACTGTTATTTTGCATAACATGGCTAATTTACTGCATAGAAATCAGATGACATTGAATGACTAATCAGAATGGAGAAAAGAAGTGGACTCGTAAATGTTACAGAATAGTTCATTAAAATATGTATAGACTACTCAATTTACGCAGTAAAAAGATTACCAATTTGTCAGAGGATAACCCAGGGAAAAGTTACACCAACTTCGGCATATATATATACTCATCCGAGTGACTGCAAGTGAGTTCATCTTGGGATAGATCTACTGATCGAATTTTCAGAGAAGTTAAAGTATCATAGCCAAAGTCAAAATCTTAGATGGTTGAAGGCAGTCGTCAGAAAGCCTTGGACCTAGGTTTCGTGCTGGTTGGCACTCGTCAGCAATGCGTGCCTGCAACCTTGAAGGAACTCATGTCCCTTCTGTTGCAGGTTCGAATCCCAAAAGTTGACCTTCAAGAATCAATCAGATATAGGGAACCCCCTGTGAAACATCACTCCAAACCAAATCATGCCTGACTTTTTGGATTTGGTGAGAATAAATACAGCATTCTGCTTAATTCTTTGGTACTTTTTCTGTAAATCTGTGCTGTAAGGTAGGTCTATGGTGTTAAGATTGAGGTCGGGGTTAAGGTTAGGACTAGGGTTGAAGTTAGGCATACGGTCAGAGTTAGGGGTATGAAATGAATGGATCTCAAATTACCGTTTTCTACGGTCACCCGCATGGATACGTCTATCGTGCATGTTATGATTTATCCATAGGTTATCCGTGTAATGACTGGGAGATATTCTTACAACACATAAACGACAAGTATCTAGTGTAATATCATGTTTGCAGTGTTCTTTAATGCATTTTTCAACAATTATACGGTTTTTCCCCATCCAGACTCTGATTGGTTGTTCAAGATCACTGTAATTTGGGCTATGATAGTTAAACTTCTCCGAATTTTCCTCTATAAACGACTCAAAAAGTCAATAGAATTGGTATGAGTGCCTGTAACAGGATCTACAAAGTCCCCGAAATGTTTGAACAATGGTGTCTATATTACTAAAGAAGATAATTATTTTTAACCCGATCACTTGTTCATATGTATTGTGGTTCCAGGCAAAATCAATATTTGTGTAACTAGAATGAGTGCAGACACACTTCTACTGGGTATTCTTTTTAAAATGCTTAGTGTTATGAAGTGTCAGCACCCATGTCTGGTTAAAAAATTTTCTCCATGAACTCTGTTCATTTCCTAAAGAGGAACATCTTTCACTCCTGGTACCAGTACACTGCTGATACTAGGCCGTTCTATTTCTGTTACCTGACAGGTCGCTATAATACCCGACTACGCACAATAACTGAAATCTGCGTGAGGAATCATTTAGATAGCAATAATGGCGTCCCCACAGAATAAGCAAAATTTTTCACCTATCGTATCCAACAGATTTCAGACATAAATTACATTTGTGAACTTGTCCGTCGATTGTACCACTGTATTTCTTAATTGATGTAGTTTCATCTAAGACATTTTACAGGGTCTGGAGGTGAAGTTAGGAGGTTGGAGGCACCGCAGCTCGTATCAGTAACTCTGAGTTGCGGGTGCATTCACTCTTTAAGAACTCTCATATCCGTTACATTCTCATTATTCTCCGTATACTTATTCTCTCTCTCTTGTACCTTTCCGTTTATCAGTTCCTTTGCGTTTTGCCTTTTCTGTGTCTTCTGTGCGCTTTTGTGATGCATGGAAACTTGGACTGCTGCACTTTTGTGTCAAGTTCCACGTTGTGAATCTGATTGAATTCAAGGAATGGAGACTATCCTGTTGTTGTTTTTAACAAATGTGTTTTGAATCGCAGTATATACCTGGTGACATAATTGACTGATTTACACAACAGATCAGGACTTTGTACAGATGTGGTTCAACACAAGTTGTCCAAATGCAATGGTACTACGACCTAAATATGTGTAGCAGGGAGAATAGCCTTGTTGAAGCGTAGTACAAATGTTCAGAATATTGAGGATGAGAAGCAAATACATCTGAATCATTGTGAATGATTTTGAACCGTACTAAAAATCGTAAATCGTCTAAACTATTAGAACAAGACATATAAGCGAACAATATTTTTTGGAAGAGGCCAAGTAAAATCTATAATTTTTATTTCGTCTCATTTGATTGACAGCGGTCGTCAGTTGGACAGAAAAAGCACCTTCATATTTTTTGTTCAGCGAAGAAATTTCTTTTCAACGACTTCATTTTCAAGCTGTACAGTCGTATTTATATTACAGAAAAGGTTATTAAGTGGCACTAAATAATTGCTCAGTCAATATACATATATGTCAAAATTGACTGAACAATTATTTAGTGCCACTTAATAACCTTTTCTGTAATATAAATACGACTGTACAGCTTGAAAATGAAGTCGTTGAAAAGAAATTTCTTCGTTGAACAAAAACTGTGTTTTTACTTATGAATAAATGGGTATTTTCCGTGACCTTCATATTTATCTGTTGCATTCCATCGAACCTTATAAACGGAATTCGAATCTGCCTTTTACGCATAACCGAGGCTATGGGAATACTAGAGGACAATCCTAGTATTTGCATACAAAGGGCAGTTCTACTTTTGTCTCTCCCTTGGCCTAGGTAAACTCTAATTAAAAACCTCCCACTCTTTCTTATTCTCCATTTCCTTCACACTATTATGATATTTATTCAAACTCTATCTATCCACTTTATCCTTAGTATTACGAAACTTTTAAGATTTGACTTACCTTATTTATTGAATTGTCTACATATACACATATTACTACCTTCGTTATTCTTATCGCCACGTGCATAAACCTTATTACCTAGGTTTTACGATCTTTCGTGCGTTGCAGGTCAATCAACGTCACCGACCCGTTGGGCCGGCTTCTAATTAGTGTGTCATAGTTACTCGCAATGCTTTGTTTTAATTATACAGTCGGATTCCCTGGTCCGTGCCAGTTCTGAGTTAGACGTCGCGCGCCAAACAATGGAAGCACAGCCACTTGACGCAACACAGAGCAAGTCCACGCGCATCGCTACTCATACAACACTAACGGCTGAAACCGCCCACGATCGGTCGTGGTCAGAGTCCAGTAACTCCACAACAATGCGCACCGAAGCACAAAAAGCAGAAACCAGCCTCCAGCTGGACCGACACGTACCTGGTCTCGGCCTGTCTGACTCGGTCCCCAGAGCCAATCATTCTCCCGAAGTTACGGATCGAATTTGCCGACTTCCCTTACCTACATTGTTCAATGGCCAGAAGTTCACTTTGGAGACCTGCCACGGATATGGGTGCGGCCTGCCGCGAAAATTATCCTGCCTGGCGTGGATTTTCAAGGGTAGACAGGAGCGTTCCGGACACCAAAAGAAGAGTGGTGCTGCGTTATTCTTACCGCCACCTGCATAAACCTTATTACCAGTATAATCATCGTTATTACTGACGCTCAAAACACTTAATACAGTATTATTTGATCCACAAACTCACCGTCACTGGTTAAATTTTGTTGTTGTTTTGAAATCTTATAACTGTAAATATCCAAATCAGACAACCTGCAACTTCATATAGTGAATTTTTTTGTAAAAGCCTCATCCAATTCTTGTTAGTCATCACTAGTAAATGACCTATTTTTGTCTGCTGTACTCTTTTAAATTCAGTTTTTTGTTGAGGATAAATAGCTCCAAAGCCTGTGTTAATCCTTTTCTTATTCAGTTGAAGGCTGTGACACTACTTCTTCTGGGAGTCGATTCTAAGAGTTTATAACTTGATAGAAGAACTAGTATTCCACACCGATGTAGTTCCTCCTTGGGTCTTGAACTCTCCTGCTATGTCTGACCTCATGAGAAGGAAAAGAGACGATAGGCTTCATAGTCATTACTTAAAATTTCAAACATTGTTATGCGGTCTCTATGCATAAGGTGTAACAAGAAGAAAAAGAGATTCGAACTGTTTAGTCTTTCATCGTATGATAAATTGGTCATACCGAGAATTATGCATGTGTGGCCTTAGTTTAAACCCTTTCTAGAATGTATGAATCCCCCTTTAAGACAAGTACTGGTTGCCTAGACTCAGTTTTCTAGTCTTGATCTCATCAGAGAAGTGTATAAAAGAGTGAACATATTAATGGTGATTCTAGTAAACTCTGTGTATTGCCCAAAATAATATAGAACTTCGAACTGCCATGATTTGACAGTGTGCTCTAGTCATAAGTTACTATAACATCAAGATCTCTATTTGAGTTCAGACTTGTGGGAGCTGACTCTTGGTTGCACACGTCGCTTTGGAGCATCCATTCTTTGGACAAATCTAACAGTTTTCTTGAGATCTACTTGCAACGTAGGCATGTCACTGTCGTCCTTTAGCTCTCTCCAGGTTTTTAAGTCATCTGCCTAGAGAACCACTGGAAACTACTACATTAGTCCGTGTAATTCCTTGATAGACACACTACATACCGCTATCGAGGAGGAGAATTTTCAGTTGATCCTAACTCTTTATCCCTCCCTCATTAAGAACTCCTTAATCCAGTTTAGTAGAGATCGGCCTTAATTCGCAACCAGTCTTATGTGAAACACAAGACAAGAGATGGCTGCATAGGTTTTTTTTCCTTCACGTTCCACAGTGGAACATAGGGCTTCAAGCTGGTGGATTAAAGTTTCTGTAGCAGTGTTTATTTTACAGGATGGGGTTGCTAGTCTCATGCCCAACCTTTCCTCTTCACCAGTATTATTTCTGGCTTGGCGAGGTAAAGGAGTGCGTCGGCCTGGAATCGAACTCCGGACCATGTGCGTGGTCGGCGAGCGTCCTAACCGCTATACCACCGACGCACCTGCATAGATGTAGTTCTCTAGTTTTGAATGATATTCATACTTTGATATATATATATATATATATATATATGTGATGACGTTTTTTTTCTCAAAAAAAATTTATCGTAATAGGTACATTTGATCAGGAGGATCAATCCTTCCCATGCACTACATCTTATTCTGTAACACCTGGACAAACTGGACCTATTCCAACTTCAAATTTGTCAGTAAATCATAATTCAAACAGTCAAAATAATATATCTGTATCTACAATGTGTGGTTTCGATAGCACTATTCCTGACGATAATAATAATAATAACAGTAATTATAATCTATCCTCAACACTATCAAGATCAGTTATTGAACGTGATAATAATCCAGATAATCTATGCGGATCAGTACGTATTTTAAATTTTGAAATAGAATTAGAACTACCATTGGATGATGATGATAATGATAATGATGAAACAGATTATCAAGTGAAAAAAGTTACTGAAACCTTTCAATTCCCCGATACAGAAACAGTTGGTTTTTTAAAATGTCATTTTATTGATTGTCGGTTAACTGAACTCATTCAACTGGCGACGAGTCCAGCATTAGAATCAAAGATAACTGAATGTAGTAAAGCTAATTTAATGAAGCATTTAGTTTTTGAAAGTTCAGGATCACATTCATTTATGGATAATTCAGTAAGATATTTATTTATTGATTTGTTTGATTGATTTATTTTGGTTTCCTTTATATAAAGTAATTGTAAAGTAATTTTACTTTGTAAATGAATGTGCACTGTGGTGGTCACATTGCAAACCTGACTGACTGATAGAATTCAGTCTGCACCAAACACCAAGGACTAGACACACATCACACTAGTTACTGACTAGTGTCCAATCAAAATATCCACTACAGGAGGTCAATCGCGAGCCTGAATAGCTGCTCAGTGGTAACGTCTCTCTGACTGCAGCACTAGGTGACGCGGGTTCGAATCTCAGAAGGAGGGACATAAGTTCCTTCAAGGTAGTTGCAGATATGCCTTGCTGACTGACTGGTGAGTACCAACTAGCACGAAACCTAGGTCGAGCAACGCTTCCTGTGGCCGATTGCCTCCAACTGTCTGATTTCATCAAATCAATGTGCTGCACCGTGATGGCGAGCTACCTAGAATGGTGGTCACATTGCAAAACCTAACTGATAGAATTCAGTCTGCACCAAAAAAGAGGACTAGACACATCACAGTAATTAGTTACTAGTGTCCAATCAAAGTAATTTTATTTGTGATATATATATGAATAGCGTGTCGGTGGCTGAATGGTAAAGTACTCCTCAGCCACACACTGTGATGGTGGTCCTGGTTCGATCCCCGACCGGCTCAGTTCTTAAACCTCGCCTAGTTTACTAGCAAATAGTAGGATCAGGAAAGACTGAATAACTGTCTGGTTTTAGCCTAGAACTTCACACAGAAGTGCAACATTATTTCAAGTTGCCATACTCCATGAAGCATGCAAAGGAAGACAAAGGAGAGGAAAACAGGAGATTTAAAAGAACAACAATAATAATAATAGACAGAAATGTAAAGAAGAAAGAATTGTATAATGGAAGAACAGTAGGCTTTAATGAATATGTCAGATCACAAAAAGAGTGAATGCCTCATCGCCATTGGCAACGATTCTGAGCCGTATAACCAAATTGTCTCCAGCCTTCAGCGGTTTTCTTAACATCTTTAAGATTCCAACGAGATAACCTACACCTTCCTAAGTAGCTTAAATGAACACACCTCTTTTGACACTCAACGCCTAACTTCAATATTTTACTCACCCTATTATACCATTTAACATGGTCTGTCTGTCTGTGTGTTTTCAACATAGAACTTTGCACCAATGTGCAGCAGTTCAAGTCGCCACAATCCACTCCTTGTAGCGCACAAGGCAAGAAAAGAAAGTAGAAGAAAGAAAAAGACACTAGACAAGGATATAAAACAAACGGAATAGTAATAACGAAGAACAATATAGTTTCATTGAAAATTATAAGTCACAAGGAGTGGATGCATCTGTGTTAGCTATTGACAAGGATTTTGAGCCATATCACCGATTGTCTCCAGCCTTCATTGGTGTTTACCGTCCCGACGACCCCAACCAGTCAGTCAGGAAGTCTACATCTTCCTACGTGACTGGTTGACTTGAACTAACTGTTGTGGATTTCACTGACTGATTAAGTTATGTTCTGGTGTGACCGCTGCTGGCTCTTTTCCAACCTGACCCTATGTCAGCTAACATTGCCCACTGTCGAGGAAGGCGATGACTAGGCATGCATACGTAACACATGTCCTGACCATCTCAGTCGATGTAACTTCACAACCTCGTCGATTGATTTCCCCGTGGTATACAATAGTGTCTAAATTAGTCTTACAAATAAACGACCTCAATGGTGAGATGAGATGAGATGTTCAGTGTATTGTACTAATTCTCGCTACATTTTCTCACCAATTTCAGGCACTTTTACGTTCATTGCATCTACCGAAATGTGTTAGACTTCAGGCGAAACTTAGTCCTGACCCATTACCGGATTCGTAAGTAAACCACTTTTTTCATGTTTTTAATAATCAATAGATATTTTTTGTTGTCGTTGAAGATTTATGTTCACAAATATAGCGTATGTAACTCAATATTCACATACTTAATTATTGGAGTAGGTTTATAGCTGCGGGGGTGGGTGGGTGAGTGGGGTGGTCATGTGTTGTGCCTAGTTTTAAGTAGGATAAATGACACAATCAAGTTATATCAAAATATAAGAGTGTACCTAGTTAGTATCGTTTTTTATTACACCTATATTACACTTCACAGTAGCAAGTTTTGTGAGATTCTCTACTGCTAAGTTCCAGTAACCAGTAATGAATTTGTTTGGAATATTTTTTATCTATTCCTTCATGTTCCCAGTGGAACATAGTGGGCTTCAAGCTAGAGGCTTGAAGTTTCTGTAGCAGTGGTGTTTTATTTTTACAGGATGGGTTTGCTAGTCAGCCTCATGCCCAACCTTTCCTCTTTACCAGCTTTTATTTCTGGCTTAGCGAGGTAAAGAAGTGCTTCGGTGGCCGGTGATCGAACGCCCGACCATGTGTATGGTTGGCTAATTTCCTAACGGCTAAGCCACCGACGCACAATATACTAACGTGATATCTGTTGTTTAGATTCATGAGAGAAAACTTCACATTAGTATTAACACTCTACTCGCTGTAGGAAGCAACTAATGCAGAAAAAATAGGATGTTCTATACGTCTTAAAGAATGGCGTGTTAACGACTTTATTAACTGCGTCTCCCTCCCAGAACATCAACATCCTAGTAGCGTTCAATACATACCCATTTTCAAGTGTTGGTTTGCAGTGATTTGATTGGTCACTGGATTTCATCGTGAGTTGATATTGGTTAGAGAAAAGTTGGAAATCACTGCTAGACCACTAGACAGCTGTTTGGTCCTAGTTTTGGGACTCTTCATCAGCATATACACACCTCCGGAGTTCGAGCCCTTAGACCATTGGGCCACTGGGACTCAATATACAATGGTCAGCACAGGAATTCCAACTTCTACCAATTCACAATATAGCGTGAACACTAGCCAATGTCATCGCTGGTGAGTATTTGTCCCCACATCCGACCAGCTGTACCCCACTGGTTATAACCCAGGTAATTACCTACGTGAATGACACCAGTCCACTTTTTTCACTTTAAAGAAACTACAAGTCTTCGACCCTAAGGTATTGATTCTGCTGATGTTAGATACCACATGCACCAACGACACATTTGTGGCAATACATAAAAAGCTGGTTTCAGACACCTGAAATGTGACACTAGATCCTCCTTTTAGGGGAAAGGTGAGGAAAGATGTAGGATGGCGTGATATGCCTCAATTTGAAGACAAAACCACGCAGAATGCGGGAAGCTTACTTCGGAAAGTATCACTAGAAGTGTTAGATTGTAATTGTTGACCTGTAATACATGTGGAGGCGATCTAGCTACTGACGAGAAAAGTAGAGCTACGATCCGTGTATCCACAGTCTGATCGGCATCAGGCGTTTTCTTTACAAATCAATTTTTCACGCATTTTATAGAGCCTATGGTACCAGCATGGTACCAACCAGTGTTTTAGATCTAGCTGGTGACTGACTTATAACCCCATGAATTGTCACATGCATTACGTAAGTCCCTTTTAAAGGTAGTTAAAATGATGGCATCACTTCACACTGATGGGATACTCGTAATTTTTCATACTTTCCTAAATATTTCTGTCAGTTCTATGACTTGAATCTCATAATCATCCTTGAGAAGAGCCAGAGATGAACTTTCTTATCCGGGTGCCTTGTGACGCTTGATCACTTTCTCTTCTGTAGGCGGATCGGTATTAACCATCCTTGGAGCACTATCATATAGAATATTGTATATTGGGTTTGTGAACCGGTTGAACTGTTTTTCTAGATGCCTCACCCAGTATTACAAGCATCCTTTACATAAACCGTCTCTGTGATACTATTCTTCTTGATGCCTATTGTCTCGGGTGAACTGAAACAACTTACGTTAATTGCCAGATACCGGGGCTACTTTTCATCCCACGCGCACGCTCTGGACGTCAGGCTTCATAATCACTACTTGAGCACTTCGATTTTATGCGTAAGAGTCTAACGTATATTATCTCACTCGCTGTCTGCCAGAATGGACTGACAGGCATCAAGAAGTTGCAAAGAACCCTCAGAAATCCAATGGTTTTTAACGGGAACCTATTCTGTACCGCTAGAGGTTTTTACTTATCGTCTTTGTGGCGTCTTTTAAGTGGAATGGTAAACTTGGCACACATTAAAGCATGATTAGAATCCCGATAAATGCTGGAGAAGGAACAGAAATTCTGTATTTACCCACTCCATCAGTAGCTGATAGCAATGTGAGCTATTGGTAACGAGGAGTAAGTATCAGAGGGAGGCTGCCAGGTGGCACGAACTCGATGGATTTCCCGAAAGTGAAAGGCCATGATTTGCGCAATGTGGTAGAAGGTGGTCCTCACTACCTGACCTGATTTAACCTGACCTACAACTGTCTGGCTCCCACTGACTGTCTGAACGAATTTCCTTTGGGTTTAGAAGCCCAAACTGTTCTTTCAAGACAAGACCCCAGCTATTACTATGATATCCGTCAAGCTTTATTAGCTATGGCTTGCATCCTGGTTCAGTTCACTTAGTGATAACTAAAAGAATTAAAATTTCAGATGTATGTTTCATCCTTATTTACATGTGATCAGATGGATGTGTCTCCATCTTAGTGAATAACGCTCTCTTAACTGATGAGCCACATAGAGGATAAAACATGTGTCTTGTTGTAATTAAGTTTGTTCTTTTACTATTTGAATGGACTTCAAGTGTTGGTTTGCAGGGACGTGACTGATTTCTACTTATACCACGGACACTGAACTGAAAACTATGGAGACTTTGACAGCTGTTTCGTCCCCACTTTGGTTTCGTCATCATTGCACGCGCATGACCCCCTACCGCTGAGTACTGAATCCAAAATCTTCGGGCTACATGAGATAAGTCCGTCAGCTCGTAATCTAACTTAAAACCAATCAAACTCTGGCAAACCAACATTTGTAATTTAATGCAGCACTCACTAGGGATGACTGACAATAGGATAAAGTTGCCGGGTGTTCTAGTGAGAAGGTGTGTGGCCAGTGGGTTCCCCCTCCTCCCATTTTGGGTGTGAAGACAAATATTAACATTGTCTGAAGGTGTCGCTATATATATCGTGAATCGGCAGAAGTTCGAATTCATGGATTTGTCATCCGTAGGATGCCATCCTGGTGACTTCAGCGGTCAACAGGCTAACCTCGTAACCTTGGTTCGACCCTTAGTAGTGGGCTCCTGAGTCATAGGAAATCTTAAACTAGGAAGAAACAGCTGTCCGGCACTAGTAGTAGCAGTACTCCTTGGTTTTCAGTAATTCTCTAACCGAAATGTGACTTTCATGATCTAACATGATACTTGGAAGGTTTTTGGTTTACCCCTTTTTTATCTTCTCTCGATTTTACTTGATCAGCTTTATTGACCTTGGTTATCATATAAAAGACTTTTCTACTACTCATCTCTTTCATCGATTTCCTTTTGTTTTGTTTCACATAGAAGTACCTCCGTGGGGAGTAAACTCAGTGAACCAGTGAAACTTTATATCAGTGTATATGAAGATGCAACCAGAGATAGCGGTAGTAGCAGTAGCAGAACAACTCATGACACTGATGAGATTAATGCAGATACCATCCTCCCGTCGTCATCATCATCAGCAGCAGCATCAGCAACAGGTGGAAATCGTCGTCAACAACGTCAACGCAATGCTGCTAGATCCTCTTCACCTTATGCCTATCATTGTATGCGTCTCCCGTTAAGTTCACGTATATCACAGGTACGTGGTAATCTATTTCGTATTACCGGTATCCCAATACCATGTCAAACATGGTGTATCAGTGATAAACAATCACACAGTCATCATCATCAACAACGTCTAGTCAATGAACAAATGCCATCCAGGGATATTTTAAATTTACTAGTCAATGAACTGAATTATCATCAACGACAAAAACGTAAATCTACCTCTTCAGGTGTACCAGACTGTTCTTCAGTGATCACGTCTACAACAACAACAACAACAACTGCAGATACTGGAAAAAAGCCTGAGAATCCAACTTTAGCTGACCTCGGCTTGAAAGCAGGCGATGTTTGTGAATTATGCGTAAGTTCACCGTGATGTTCAATTGTTTTTTTTTTGTTGTTGATTACTTTACGCTCCCAGTGGAACATACAGGGCTTCAAGCAGTAGCAGTAGTGCTCTTTTCTTTAGGGGGTGAAGTTGCTAGCCTCACGCCCAACCTCTCCCCCTCTTTGTCGGGATTATAACCAGTTAGGAGAGGTAAAGGTAGGTGTGCGTCGGCCGGGACTCGAACCCTAGACTATGTGCATGGTAGGCCAGCAGTCTACCGCTGAACCACCGACGCACTTGACGTTCAATGTTGGCTTGTTTTCGTCCTTAGACAGGACAGTTTTGATTGTGTGTATGTTCACGTATTATAAGTGCATAAAATGCACCTAACTGTTTTAAGAATGATAGCCCATTGGTGTAGCCCACTGACCTCCACACTAAACGAGGTGGTGTTGACTCAGTGGAGATACAGTTCATTTGATTTAAGCACTTGGTTTTCAGCCGATGGGTCACAGGTTCGAGTCCCACTCCACCTAATTCATCAGTCTAATCAACTATGTATGGGTGTAGTAACATCAGCTCTCAAACAATAAGTACAGTGCTCTTAGCTTGGTGGTACACGGAAAATCTGTACCGAATAATTGAGGTCAAACGAACGAAACACGAGGTACACCCTATCGATAGGTAGGTAGGTAGTCATCCGATTTTAAATCCAAAATAGCATATTTATTCCAATTTGACTATTTGTTGTATAGCGCAAGAAACCTGCGCAGTTATCGATAATTTAAAAGAAGAGGTGTTCAAGTGAAGAGTTACTCTTTTCAATTATGTCATTCTCAAGTTAGTAGTACAATCAATCGCATATGTATACACAGTCTGTCTGTCCGTCTGGTTTCAACATAGAACTTTTCACCGGTGTGCAGCAGTTCGAGTCACCACACTTCACTCAGCACACAAAGCCAGAGAGGAAAGTAAAAAGAAACGCAAAATAGAGACGGTAAAGAGAGATATGAAGCAAAAAGTGTAGTAACATCGAAGAACAATATAGTTTCATTGGATATTATAAGTCACAAGGAGTGGATGCATCTATGTTAGCCATTGACAACGACGATTTAGAGCCATATCACCGATCGTCTCCACCCTTCATTGGTGTTTACCATCTTGAGAACCCCAACCAGGAAGTCTACATCTTCCTACGTGACCGGCTTAAACTAATTGTTTTGGATTTCATTGACTGGTGCCATGTTTTGGTTTGACCGCTGCTAGCTTTCTCTTTTCCAACCTGACCCTATGTCAGCTAACATTTCCCTCGAGGAAGGCGGTGGATGGCCAGGCATACGTAACACATGTCCTAACCATCTCACTCGATGTAACTTCGTCTATTGATTTCTCCTCCCTCCTTACCTAGCACTCGACCGACGCATACCCTCAATATTGCTCACCCTATTGTACCACTTCACACAGGAGATAGAACACACACCTGTTATCAAAGACAGGTAGCTGGCACTCTCAATGGCCAGGTTTCGCTCAAAGGTATAAAGGAGTACGGAGTGAACTGCTGAGCAGTACACACACCCTTTGGTCGACAGCCAGCCAGATATCACGTCTACTAAGCCAGAGACAGCTTAAATTTGTATATGCGAAACGAGCCTTCTGTATCCGTGTTGTGATTTCGTTGGCGTTAGGGCTGATGCAACTTCGCAAATAAATGAAGTGGTCAACACGCTCCACCAACCAATTAACTCCTTATTTCTAAGCTAGGAGTCAATGTAGTCTAGTCCTATAGCATGATCTTGCATTTGAATAGGGCAGCGAATCGCATGCCAAACATTTGCAGATTGCAGCTCAACGTGTTCAGAAGACTCTGCTCTATTTTGTCAGTGTCCACCTAGAAGATATATACATAGTACATTTTTATAGCAACAAAAAGAATGTTTTTCAAGAGTTGATTTGTAAGGATTCGATTTGTTCCAACCCTTTTGGATGTGCGTACTAATTATAAGTCCCAAACTATGCTGACGAAACAGCTAGCTAGCTAGTTGTTCAGTACTCCAGTACTGGTTTTCAATAGTTCTCTAACTGTAAGTTACCAATCCGTGATCAAATTTAAAACTAATCAAAACCCTACAAACTATTTCTGGAAAAGTAATATGGGTCAAGCGGAGGAAAAAGGTTGATCCCCGACTCTTTGTTCATCAAATCTACACATCTCAACACGGATACCAGAGAGCTGAAAAAAATACCAATAGAATCAATGGATGTGAAATAATTGAATCATATAAACGGAATATGAAAGTTATGTGAGAGTACTCTTCATATGATGATTATGAGCAGTAATAAATTGTCTTTGAAACGTCATCAGTAAATAATACCGTATAAGATTTCATCATGAGTTGACGTCCGCTAGAGAACTACTGGAAAACCTGGGAGTAGTCGACGGCTGTTTCGTCCTAGTTCACCACTCTTCAGTGGTACGCACCCAAGAATTTCCGGTTACAAGACTAGCGAGCTCGTAGACCATTAAGCCACTGGGGCCGGATCCAATGGCCAGCCGATGAATTCCAACTTCTGCCATCACTAGCACAAAATGTTATTGATAATAAAGTCAGAAGTACAATTAAAAATGAAAGTAATATTTACAACTATCCTGTAACAGCAGGAGAGACAACTATGCTAGGTCGGGATTGAAGACCATGGGGGGATGGATTGAACAAACTTCACCTATGCCTGGCAATTGAAGACGCACAATCTTAAGGAATGGATATGTAACCTTGTATAGAATTGTGTAAAGGCTGAATTTTTATGAATCTTGCTATCTCCTTATCCTCATGGTGTGCGAATATGGAAGTCTGGATTGACTTTACGACTCTTTCAGCTAACCACGTTGGATAATGCTCGAGAAGGCGATAGTGGGCTTGTCCAATCTTTGTGTTCAGAGAGAGAGAGAGAGAGTTTGTTCTATGTCCCCTCTCCCTCCCATGGCCTTCAATTCCACCGGTGACACCGGATAACTATAAATGGCTTAATGGTCTACAAGCTCACCTTGTAACCAAAAGCTCCTGGTTTGCAGCTCAGGTGTGTGCGTACTGATGAAGATTCCCAAACTAAGCTGTCGAAACAGCTCTTCAGTATTCTCAGGTTTTCCAATTGCCTTCTAACCAACGTCAGTTCATGATGAAATCCGGAAAACAATAAAATCCCTACAAACCAACAGTTGAATACACAGCATGATATTCATTAGATGATGATGTAACTAACTAAGTAAGAATGAAAAGAAGTCAACATTCCATAAAAGGATCATATTATCATCAATTAAGAGACACCCACTAAAGAGATTGTCTCCAGGCCATGGGTCCGAGCGTGACGTACAGAAGACCGTACGAGGAGGAGATGGGAGATTATAGTCACTCATGGGGAGCTAGTTTATAAAGAGGACCACAGAAAGTAGGATAAAGTGACATTGTACTCTTGAAGCTGTCCGTATGTTCCACTAGGAATCCAACGGGACCAATAATTAGGTTAAAAGATGAATTACTAAGGTAGATAAGGACTTATTACTGCTCTCTATTTTGTATACTATAAATCAGGTTTCTACCATGTGATAGAGATATGGCATCGTTAAACTTCAGGGAGACTCTTGAGGGTTGTATGTTTAGAAAACAGAAAGATTGGGCGAAGAAATATTTACTTTTCAATTAGATCCTCATCTGTGGCTCTACTATAATAAAAATAGAGTTTTTATTACAATACGCAACAGTTCACCAATCAAGTGGCGATAAGTTTGTTAACAATAATTAGTCAGTGTCAAAATGTCAGTAAGGTGATAATTAACGAAGAAAATTAATACACATTTAAAAGGTAGAAATGGTTAGAATAAATTAATTTTACAAGGATAACACGTAATTAAAGATGAAGTGGTCAAAATAAATAAAAATAAAATAATTTGGACAGTTATAATTTTTATAGTTTTTAAAGGTTTAGGGGGAGGGGGGCGAAGTAGTCCGGTTTATACATCCATGTAATGATGGCCAAGGCAAGGAAAGTGGCTGCACAAATTTCTTCTAAACACACACAGGTTTGACTTCTTCAGGTGGATTTCTATTGCTTCAGCTGTCTGTAGAAGACGAACTCTTAGAGCAAAATTAAGATTAGTAGGAATGCGATAGATAATTTTAAATGCAGTATTAATATCAACCTTATGCTCAGTATCTACAAGGTGTGCTAAAATAGAGCTACGAATAGATCTTGTTTGTCCCTTGCTTAACCATGCAGGATGATGTTCGGAAATACAGTGATGATCCTGCCTAATTGTACGCCCCCCCCCCCCCGATGTAGCTGGCTCCGCAGCTGCAGTCAAACTGGTAGACACACATAGAGGAGGCAAATTTAAGTAGTTTATCCTTATTTCTCGAACGTAGAATAGGGGTGGCTGTGAAGAGACAACGTACCTCTGCTGCATTATAAGCTCTTTTAACTGTATTCTTCAGGTGTTCCCGAGGGTTGGGGCCCTCGGGACTCTAAGAATCAATGGCTGGAGACAATAGGTGACATGGCTCAAAATCGTTGTCAATGGCTTACGCAGATGTATTCAGTCTCTTTAACCTTCATACTCCTTTCTACCATTACTCATTCTGTTTCACTCTTATACTTGTCAAAACTCTATTGATTCTCTTCACTCATTTTCTTGTCTACCTTTGTGTGCTATTTGGAACGTGGCAACTCGAACTGCTGCACTTCGGTGCCAAGTTCTATGTTGAATCCAGACAGACAGACAGGTGTTCGCTGTGTTATTATTTCTCTGATGTTGTCACCGAGGAACTGCAATTTTATGAACATTGGTTTTTTCGGAATTGTTGCTATACTGACTACTCTCCTAGGTGCTGAATTCATATTTTTCTCAATGAATTTATCTGGATAACCATTTTTTCTAAGTAATTCTCTAATAATCTTAAGCTCCTCATTTTGAGGCAGTTGTCTGAACAGATTAACCTGGCTCTATGAACCAGACACTTAACCAGGTTACGGGTTTATATTTCAAAGGTACAAAACTCAAACAAAAAATGAGTGTACTGACCTGTTGTTGTAGGAGGTTTCCTATACACACTCCTTCTTAGTGTGTGCCATCTTCTTTCCTTGCCATGAAGACAGACGTCTAGGAATGGAATACTATGTCATTACTTTCTTTCTCCATGGTAAAGTTTATTGCTGAATGTGCATTTTATTATGTTGTATGTTTGTTTATTATTTCAAAAGATTTCAAGGTGTGTCGATCAAGGTATCTCATGACTGTGTTGTGTATAAAAAGACTTTAAATCGAAGATAAGTCCTTCCTACTGTTCTTCCAATGTATGTATCTATGTACGTACGTATATGGCGTGAAGCTAACCAAAAGTGTCTTCTCTTATGTATATTTCTATCCCCCCCCCCCGACTAGTTATTCACTTCACATTCAATTGGCAATACAAAAGATCGAAGCAGAACAACAGGTATTTTACAAAATGATGATAATGTTGTTGATGATGATGTCGTCCTCCAGTGTAAACCGCCATCAACAGCTAGACAACCTCAGCAACAACAACAACAAAGGAAATCGCCATCATCATCATCAAGAACTGCAACAGCAGCAGCAACAACAACACAACATCCTCTTGATAGTATTTTTATGCCGCCTAGTTCTAATCTACCTAGTCCTATACAACCGGAAGTATTATCCAGTGCGAATAAATCTAGTCGAAAGGTGGTGTCGTCGTCAGCACCTAAGAAACAAAGTGGTACAATTGATGGCGGTAATATATCCCCAGAGATTGTAAGTTCATCCTGTTCGAGTGTTTTTTTCCTGTTTTTTTATGATAATAACAATTATAATAATCTATTCAAGTATTGGTTCCAGTGGGAAGTCGTGACCAGTAAGTAGGGTGCAGCAGGTCGGGTGTGAAGAAAAATACTCGCCGAAGACATCGGCTAGCGGTTGCGCTATATCTTGAATTGGCAGAAGTTAGAATTCATGGGCCATTGGGATCAGGTCCCAGTGGCTTAATGGTATGCGAGCTCACCTTATAACCAGAAGGTCCTGGGTTAGAACCGTGGCGGTGGGTGCGTACTGATGAAGAGTCCCAAACTAGGACGAAACAGCTGTCCAGTACTCCCAGCTCGTTTTCCAATGGTTCTCTAACCAATGCCAGCTCATGATGAAATCCTATAATAATCTACTTTATTCCAAAAACATTCCTTATGATACAGAATGGAATTCTCAGCATTTGTCACAATATTGCATGTAATTTACTCAAAATATAAATAAAATTAACCACAGGAATTTGTCCACATTTACGGTATAAAGTCAAAAAATTTCAAAGTACAAAGTGAGAATAATAACTCTAATAATAATAATCATAATAATGACAGTGGGTTTGTTTCAAATAGGTATTTTCGATAGAGTTTGGGAATTTTAACATTTTGTAGATTTCATACACTTACTCAGATTGTTCAGTGACGCACATAACAATATTGTGTTTACTATGGAACATGAAAGTGATGGAAAGTTCCACTTCCTCGACATTGCTATGCAACGCCTAGAAGACGGTGATCTTCAGAAGTCAATTTATAGAAAGTCTATTTGGAAAGGACAATACTTACATTTTAATAACTTTTGTCCAAATAGCTTTAAACGCTGTCTAGTCAAGACTCTGTACTATAGAGCGAGGAGAATATGCTCTATGGAGAAATTAGAGGAGGAATTTGTGTTTCTTGAAAAGATTTTGAAAAGCAATAGTTACACTCAAAGATTCATTAACAAGTACGGAAGATCTGAAGTCTCAAATGTAAAACAAATCATAGTGGAGAAAAAGCCCATGTACATTCAACTTGATTATAAAGGTGAAAACATTGCAGCGATGGTCAACAGAAGACTGAGTACATCACTAGCCATAGCCTATCCTGCAGCTAAGCTGTTTCCCGTCTATCGAACAACTCACTCTTTGGTGCAATCGAAAATCGATAGATATCCTTCTCATGTTAACTCCAACTGTGTTTATACAAATTTACATGTATCTATGGGAGCAGTTACATTGGAAGGACAGAAAGAAAAGCATATCTACGATTTTCTGAACATGTACCAAAAAGCTTACGTCTAAAGGGAACAAATTCTTTAAACAGTACCATCGCCAGGCATCTTTTTGACACACGGGTCATGGGGTGAACGTCGCAAAATCGTTCAGAGTTATCAATAGGCAAAAGAGCTCAGTTCTCCTCAAGTTTGTTGAAGCCATCTCCATCAAGAGCCTGAGACCTGATTTGTGCGTTCAGGAAGAAACAGTTATCAGTCTTTCTTTGCCCTGTCTGGTAACTGTATATTTTCATCTCTCTTTCATGTGAATACGTAATGCCGAGAGTTTTCATTGTGTATGATCATTATTGTTCGGAATAGTGTTTAATATCACATATTATTACTGTATGCATATATTGATCGATTAATTGATTTTTGTTTAAAATGAACTCTATGCAAGTATGTTAAAATTGTTTCTGTAGATATATTTGATAATGACTGTGGCCTGTAAGCAGCTGATGAGAAGGCGACGGAATAAACAGTGATGGTACCACTTTATTCTGCACAAACTGTAGTTCTCGTTTTATTCAAATTTTATAGATTATTGAGTCTAATGTTCTCTTGACATAGCATGCTTAGGAGAGAAACAAAACAGTAATACAACTATTACAGAGCCTTAAATAAACAAAAAGAGAGGATTATAAATATAAGAATAATCACAACAGTAAAGCTTGGTGGAATAAGGATGGAGAAAATGGTTTATTTAATAGTGCAAAGAAGGTTAGTTAGTTCACGCCTAATACTATTTTCATCACATAAAGTACGTGCCGCCAAATATGGTATCGTGGAATTTTTGTACTTAGACGTACGTACACAAAGTCTTCTGAAAAGACTTCTTGTTTTACCTCAGGAAACACAAGGTTGGAGCTGCGGGTAAAGTGGATGTCCACAGTCTGACAAAATTCCTTTAGCAAATTTGTTGCATGAAATCAAGTGCCTACCGATAATAACGATGTCAACGATATGGCCCAATGGGATACCACAATCGCCCTATTGACAGTCTTCAGAGTTCTACGAAGTATGACATAGTCCTTTTTAAGCAATCCAGGAAAGAATAAGGGTGAATAATAAAGAAGAATAGGTAAGATACAAGAGTTGACAAATTGTAAACGAAGGAGACGTTGAGTTATGCCTGAGTGCCTTAACTTCTTAATGTAAAAAGTCAGACGAAATATTTTTTTAAAAAGTCGCTACGACATGGGAAGACTAGGATCGATCAGAAGAAAGAATTAGTCCAAGATGCTTAACGTCAGACTTGATTTCTATATCACTATCATCAATTTTGCAACGATCATAGGAACCAACAGCTTCATTAAACTTTCTTTTACGTCGGAAACTGTAATTAACAGTCTGACATTTAGATGGATTTAATTTAAGGCCATTTGCTGACTCCTGATAGAAAGCTGTTCATCTTAGTACAGTTTAGCTGGGAGTTAACGTACACTGAAACAGTTAGATCGTCCGCATAATTAACAAAGTTTATTTCATCAGAGTGAGGCGAGTAATGCAGGAAGAAAGAAAACAGAAAAGGAGAAAGAACTGCGCCTTGAGGGACACCAGCCTCAGTAAGCAATAAAATGGACGACTTTCCCTGACATACAGTGCACTGCTTCCTTCTTGAGAGATAAGAATGCAGCCAGTTGACAACACAACACTCAGTTAGAGTTTCAGCAAGCTTATTTAACAAAATATCCCTAGGTACCACTGAGTCAAAAGCAGATGTGTAATCTAGAAAGACGCAGTGAACAAATTTAGACCCTTTGTCTAAACCGGTATTATAAATCGTGCGTCAATCAAGAATGCGTCTGCACCAGCCATCGAGAAGGATTTCGAGTCATGTGATCAATTGTCTCCAGGCATAGGTTCTTTAGTGCGTCGGTGGCATAGCGGTTAGGATGCTCGCCGACCATGCACATGGTCCGGGGTTCGATCCCCGGCTACCGACGCACTCCTTTACCTCGCTAAGCCAGAAATAATGCTGGTGAAGAGGAAAGGTTGGGCATGAGGCTAACAACCCCATCCTGTAAAATAAACACTGCTACAGAAACTTCAAGCCTCTAGCTTGGAGCCCTATGTTCCACTGGGGAACGTGAAGGAAAAAAAATAGGTTCTTTAAATCCCGAAGACTTCAACCAATCAGGAAGTCCACACCTAAGTGCGTAGCTGACTGGCTTAAACTAACTGTTGTGAATTTCATTGACTGATGAAGCCATGTTTTGGTTTGACCACCATTAACTCTTTCCTAACCTAATCCTATGTCAGCTAACATTCTCTGTCGAGGAAGGCGATGACTAGATATACGGAACACACTCTAGGCTTCTTAACTGGTGTAACTTCACAGTCTCGTTGGTTGATTTTCCCTCCTTACCTAGCACTCAGCTGAAGTCTAACCTTAATATTGCTCACCTTATTATACTACTTCACACGGGAGATAGAACGGAGACACCTATGATCAACGACAGCTTGCAAGGCTTTTCATGTCTTCCACTTTCAATGGTCATGTCTCACAACCATCCATAAAGGAGGATGAAGTGGACTACTAAGTAGTACACACACCCTTTGGTTTATTAAGTTCCCATGTTTCTCCATTTTAATATTCTTTCACCCGTACACTCCTGCTTTTGATTTTTCTCTCTTCTCTTTACCTTTATTATATGGAGTTTGTCAACTTGAAATGCCTCTGCGTAGTTCTACGTTGAATACTCAGTCAATTAGTCAAAGTTGGCTAGGGCTAGTGTAGATTTGAATTTGTATATCTGTCTTTTTTTGTAGCAAGCATGTCGATAAGAGGATCTTTTGGTTAGCTTTAATGTCTTCCATTTTGTTTTTGTTTTCCTTGGCTACTTACACACACACACACACAAATTAGGGTTCTGATTATGAAGATGATTATGATATGGATTATCATTATTCAAGTGATGAAATGCTTGATCAAACAGAAGAGAATAAAATTACCCCATGGAATATGCCATTAAGTAAGTTATACTATGTTTATATATATACTTATTCGTACATTATTCGATGTATTATTACTATTATTGTTATTATTATTATTTCCTTTAATTCTTAAAGGAACATAGGGCTTCAGCCATCCGTCTCCATTGCGTTCGGTTCTCTGCTAGAGTCTTCACCTGGCTCCAAGTCTGCCGCCCATACCCTTTCATCTCCTCTTCACATGACCTCCTCCAAGTCACCCTTGCATTGACGAACAACTCGCCGCCACTTCCCTTTCGGGTTCCACTCGAGCAATGGCTACTCTAGTGATGTCACCTGATGCTCGGTTTCCTCAGAGTATGGCCAATCCACCTAACTCCATTTCTTCCTGCCTATTTGTTTCACAATCGGTTCCTGGTTAGTTGGTTCGCTCATTGCCAGAGATCTCTGTTGCTGATCTTTTCTGGCTGGCCATCTGATCTTGAGTGGTATTGAGCGAAGACAACTGTTAATGAAGGTCTGTAGTTTGTTTGATGTGCTCTTTATGACGCGCTGGCCAAGTCTCTGATCCGTATGTTAAGTAGCACTGACTTCACATTGGAGTTGAAAATCCGGATCTTATTTTTTGATGCTGAGTGCTGTTGACCTCCACACAGACTTGAGAGTAGTGAAAGCTTGTCTTGATTTGATATCCTCGTCAGTTCCGTCCGCCTGTAGTTGAAACGATGCTTCCAGGTTGGTAGGTAAAAGAGGTTGTTTCTTTCAGGTTCCTTCCATACACATTTTCCATTCATATTCAATATATACTGCTGTTATTGTTCTGAGCATTCGATTGTTGTCCCAGTGGTGGAAATGTGTATGTGTGTGTGTGTGGGGGGGTCTTTGCACACTCTTTAGTTAATGCAGTTGTCTGTTTTAGCAACGTATATATCAGGATTGTAAAACAACCTCGATTATGAGAATAAACGGTTGTGTTTAAACTCTGTGTGGGATAAATGAAGTGAAATTTACACTTGTGGTATATAACGTGGAAGCTGTGTGTGTCAGTCAACATTCTTCTTCTCAGCTTGTGTCCATTTGCTTCTTATTTATTGGATGATAGCTTCTGTCGTCTGTCTGTTTTCAACATAGAACTTTGCATCGATGTGCAGTAGTTTGAGTAGCCACAATCCATGTAGCACACAAAGCAAGGAAAGAAAGTAAAAAGAAGTGCAAAACAGAGATATGAGACAAAAGGAATAGTAATAACGAAGAAAAATATAGTTTCATTGGGTATTATAAGTCACAAGGAGTGGATTCATCTGCGTTAGCCATTGAGAACGATTTTTAGCCATATCACCCACCAACTGTCTCCAGCCTTCATTGATGTTTACCGTCCCGAGAACCCCAAGCAGTCAGTGAGGAAGTGTACACCTTCCTACGTGGCTGGCTGTCTGGCTTAAAGTAACTGTTGTGGATTTCATTGACTGATGAAGCCATGTTTTGGTTTGACCACCACTAGCTAGCTGTTTTCCAGCCTGACCCTATATCAGCTAACATTGCCCATTGTCGAGGAAGGCTGTGGATCGACTTCTATTCCGTTAGTGATCACCTGTATTACTGTATTCAGCGTATCGTCCAACCTTTGTCTGCGTGCACGTCTTAGTGGGTCTTGTTCTACTGCATGCACTCCGTAAGCGACCTCGGGCAACCCAAACTCGTCTTCTGCTCTCGATAACAAATCTGCCAAAACATTATCATTTCCAGGAACGTGTGAGATAGTAAAATTGTACTCCTGAAGACGCAACATCCACCCTGACAATTTCTCTCGTGGGTCTCTCGCGCTCTCTTCAAAAACTGTAGCGGCTTATGGTCAGTTTCGATGTGGAACCGCTGGCCGAGTAAATAAGGTCTCCGTTTGTCGATTGCCCATACCATCGCTAAACATTCTTTCTCTGTCGTTGAATACTCACGCTCTGTGTGTGTGTCAAAACCCGACTGGCATACTCAACGATTCCCTCACCCTGTCTTAGGTCCGCATCTATGGCATATGTGCACAGTGTGAACTGTCTTCCAGGTACAGGTAGTTTTAGTGTCATTTGTTGGTGGTCTAGCAGCTGTTTAATCCTGTCGAATATCTTCTGCGATTCCTCCGACCAAACAAACTTCGGTCCACCTAGTAGCCTATACAAAGGGGCTGCTATCTCATTGAAGTTCTTCACGAACCGACTATAAAACGCTTCTCTACCCAAGAATTGTCTCAATTTTCTCTTTGAATTCGGGGCTGGGATCGTCTTTATCGTCAAAATTTTCCCCGGTAGTGGTTTAATCTCACCATTTCCCAAAAGTGTAACATTCTTTTTGGCTATCTGAGACTTGGTTTTGCTGACGCGTAGTCCAAACTCTTTCATGCGTCGCAGCACGGCTTCCACATGGTTCACATGATCGTTTTCGTCTTGACTATATATGACGGGATCATCACCGTACACCTCCACGTTTTTCAAGTTCTTAAGTAGTAGCGTCATCAGTCATCTGAACGTAAACGGTGCACCTGCTAGTCCAAACGGTATGCGTTTCAATCGATATTGTGTCTGACCCACGATGAATGCCGTCTTATCTCTATCACCTGGTTTTATTGGTATCTGCCAGTATCCTGAGCGAAGATGGAGAACCGAAAACAAATTTGCGCCTTGTAGGCGATCTAAAGTTTCTACTACTGTTGGCATGGTACACGGTCTTAACTCTGTCATACTGTTTAACTGTCGAAAATCAACGCAGAATCTATACTTCCCATTCGCCTTTTTTACTAACAGCACTGGGCTATCTGCTTCTTCAATAATATCATCTTTTAGCATCTCTCGCACTTGTCGCTTAACTTTGGCTTCCAAATGACATGGAACTCTTCGCGTGGTAAATGACGTTACTTTCGGGCCACTTAACGGAATTTCATGATTCACCTTATCGCAATAACCGTATGGGTCCCCATCTCCAGTAAACAGATGATCGTATTTATTAATTAACTCTGTCATATTGTGTACCTTCGACAGTTTAACCGCTGCTATCTCATACATGCTGAAATGTCCGTATTTTGTAATTACAACGTTCTCTTGTGTGTCGATTATTGCGCCAATCTCCCGCAGAAAATCCGCCCCAAGTATCGTCCGTTGTAATTCGGGCACAACAATGAAGGGGAACGTCACCTCGCAGCTGCCAACCACGACCGTACAGTTCGATCTACCCGTGATACATAACACGTGCCCGCCTACCGTTTGTACTGTCAATGAACATGGACTAACACTCTTACATAAGTTCTTATCTATTAGGGACACAGCCGCCCCCGTATCTACTAAACATACTACTTCTTGATCATTCACTCGCAACTTCGAATACACAGCCCCTTTCTCAATAGCCCCCACTATATCTAGTTTTATACGAGAGAAAGAACACGTATTATACCGTCTGAAGCTTTTTCTTTTTCGCCTTTCTGGGCAGTATTTCCTCCAGTGTCCCGGCTTATCGCATTCAAAACATCGATCTTTCCTGTCACCCAACTTTAACGCCGCCACTTCCCGCTGCAACGCTTCAATTTTCTGCTCGTATTCGTTTGGTTTTGGTTGCTCTATAGCGGCTACAGTTGTGCTCAGCAGCTGTCTGGTCACCTTCGCCAGCTCACTAATATCCATCGGCTGCACAGAGTTAACCAGTTGTAATCGCTGAGAAATGTGGTCTGGGACACTCGATGAACTGGGAACTCAGCAACTGCGCCTCTGATTCTTCATCCAAAGTGGGAAGCGCACGTCGAAGTAGATTCGTCAATTTCACCGCCAACACTAATGGATCTCCATCAGGTCCCAGCTTCGTTGAACGGAACTGCTGCATTGCTAGCTGTCTGTCTGTTGCACTGTTGAACTCCGACACCAATCGTTCAACCAATGTCTTCCAAGACGCTGTGCCATCTGACCTCTCTACGCTGTCATATGCCGCCTTCGCTCTGCCTCTCAACAGCGTCCCCAGCACAACCGCCTTCGCCGCTTGCTCTTTGACACCCACCAACTCAGCAACGGCCTCAAAGTCACTTAAGAAGCTCCGTATATCTCCTTCTTCAAACGCAGTTGGCCATGGGATCTTCATTGTTCGGAGGCAGCGACACCGATTGTAACGACAGAAAGCAAGACTCAGGCACAGATTGTTTATTATGGAAATCAACACATATAGATTTTCGTGTACATTATTATAGATTATTGTTAGCTGAAAAACACAGTTTTCTGATTGGTTGTTTCTCACTAAAAGTTAATCTTTCATCTCTTTGTTGCTGTCTCTTGAGTGTCAGATCATCTATATGCTAACTGTATCCGCCTACGCAAAGCCTTTGTTCTCATTTTTGACCTTGTTTTCACATGACTAATATTTGAGACATAAACATTGACGTCAATTACTGTCTACCAATTTGGCTAGCAGCCATCTCTCACCACACTACGTGTTACAGCCAGAAAAAAAGACAAAGCAAGTTGTCGCGCAGTACACACGCATCCTTTGATCGATAACCGGGTATCACGTTTGCACTGGAGAAGACTTAGGTTTTCAAATGTCACATGAATCATTTATATCCGTGATGAGATTTCGTCATCAATCAGTCCATTGAGGCTGATTTTTTTTATTTCTTCACGTTCCCAGTGGAACATAGGGCTTCAAGCTAGAGGCTTGAAGTTTCTGTAGCAGTGTTTGTTTTTACAGGAAGGGGTTGCTAGCCAGCCTCATGCTCAACCTTTCCTCTTTATCAACTTTATTACTGGTTCAGCGAGGTAAGGGAGTGCGTCGGCTGGGGATCGAAACCCGGACCATGTGCATGGTCGGCGAGCGTCCCAACCGCTGTGCCACCGACGCGTATTGAAGCTGATACAACTTACGAACTAGTGAAGTGGTCAACACGACCTGTCAATTCACTCCCTATCTTTAAGGTAGGAGTCGATGTATTCCACTCCTGTAGCCATCATCGTACATTCGACAAGAACAGTTCACATGTCAAATATTCGAAGATTTCTGCTCAAGGTGTTCAAACGACTCGGCATTTTGTCAGACTCTTCACCTAGAAGGACAATATCATCCACATACTTTAAGTTGACACGATTATTCCTTTGGCAACAGGTCTAAGTCGTTAAAATCACTCAGGGTCACTTCCATTAGCACATTAATGATCAAATTAAGGGAGTTGAAGATCTCGACGAAGGGTTACCATGGAAAAATTTGTAAATTGACGATTGTGTATTTCTATATTGCTATTATCTCTCTCATCTAAACTGTATTCTATTTTCTATTTTTACAGTTCCTGATAGCCCAAGTAGTGAAGATCCAGAAATGGCTACACAACAGTTTTGTATTGTCTTTTTACAACGTTATTGTAGTGATGGTGTTACAATGGCACCACCATTCTCTACATGTAGTTTTGATACTGCCTTATCTCTATCTGTTGGTACTAGTCAAGTTTGTGATGTAAGTTGTTGCCTTTGTTCAATTATTTATTTCATGATTATTTTGTTTAAGTGTGTTTACCTGTCTCCTATTTTAATGGTACAAATACGTGATTTACTGATTGACTGACTGACTGGCGTCGATGGTTCTGTGTTAGAATCCTGTACAGTAACACACATGGTTTGGGGTTTGATTCTCAGCCGATACACTCCTCCTCTTAAACCTCGCTTAGCCGTTCATTAGCCTGGTTAAGAAGGAAGGTCGAGTCTGTGAGGCTGGGAAGTGAACCCCGTAAAAATTTCAAAGCTCAGACTTGAAGCATGTCATTTGGATAAAACCAGTAGATTGGATCAATAAGTCACACCCATGCTGTTGGATCGATTTACTCATGTCTGTGTGTGTGTGTGTGTGGGATAGTGAGATGGCTGGGCATTCATACTCATTGATATCATTAGGAGAACTATTAACGTAGAAGCATTTTTTTATTCCTTCACGTTCCCAGTGGAACATAGGGGACTTCAAGCTAGAGGCTTGAAGTTTCTGTAGCATTGTTGATTATTTTTACAGGATAGGGTTGCTAACCAACCTCATGCCCAACCTTTCCTCTTTACCAGTTTTTTTATTACTGACTTAGCGAGGTAAAGGAGTGCGTTGGTGGCCGGGGATCGAATCCCGGACCAGGTACATGGTCGGCGAGCGTCCTAACTGCCTCCAACCAATTGATTCTTAGGGTCCCGAGGGCCCCAACCCGGAAGTCTGCATCTCCCTACCTGACTCAGTTTAACTGTCAAGATGTTGCAACATGTTGCTACAAGGTACCGGCTTCTTCTAGGCCTGACAAGAATAAGTCTGCAAAAAATTAATAATGTAAACCTTGTTTTTGTGTTTTTATTGTCTACCACCCCACCCACCCGCCTAATTTGCTTTTATGCTTATATATTTTCTCTCTCTCCAAATACAGCGTAAACCATTATTTATCTATTTACACAATGATAATAGTGTTGCATGTCATGTATTCTGTCAACAAGTATTATGCTCAAATGGGCTGATCAGATTTTTAACTGATCATGAATTCAGTTTATGGCCATGGGATATGACAAGAGCAAGAGCAAAAGAACGCCTGCTTGGTTGGCTTGAAGTGAAATTACCAAATCTATCACGAATTATAACACCATTACCGGTTAGTTTTTTCTTTCTTGATGTGTATTTGTGTGTGTGTATGTGCGTGCGTGCGTTTATTCATGCAGTATAATTCATTCCTCTATTTCCTCCAGACTGTTTAAGCAGCCTTGTTAAGCTATAGAGATATGTGCTGCAGACATTTCATGTCTTCTTATGCTTACTTTCCATTTTATCAAGGGAAGAATTATCGATCGACTGGTGTTTTCTGAAGTCCTTTCATCACTTGCCAGCGTTGTCTATCCTCGAAATGAAAAGTTTTTACCAAATCCTCTGATGGAGAGGCTGACGAAATGCAGAGTCTTCTATAAACACTTTGAGCAGAAATCTTCGAATATTTGGGATACGATCTGCTCCTTTTGTCAAATGTAAGATGATGCTATAAGATTGGAATATATCGATCGATTCCCAGTTTGAAAATATGGAGGGAGCGTGTTGACCACTTCACTGATTTAGGAAGTTAAATCAGCCCTAATAATGGACATAAGTCACTCGTGTTGAGATTTGCCAACTTACGTCGTCTCTCGCCTAGGCGTGATACTCGGCTGTCGATCAAAGGATGTGTGTACTGCTCACCAGTTTGCTCCGTCTTCTTTTGTGACTGTGAGACGTGACCATTGAAAGTGGGAGACATGAAAAGGCTAGCTAGTTGTCTTTGATCATAAGTGTCTGCGTAGTCTCACGTGTTGAGTGGTATAATAAGGTGAGCAATATTGAGGTTAGGCGTCAAGTGGTTAGTTAAATATAGAAAGTTAATCGATGAGGTTGTGAAACTATATCGATCGAGATGGCTAGGACACGTTGTTACACATGCCTAGTCATCGCCTTCCTCGACGGGAAATGTTATTTGACATAGGATGAGTTTGGAAAAGAGAAAGCTAGTGGTGGTCTAACCAAAATCAGTTAATTTAAGCCAGCCACGTAGGATGTTGTGGACTACCTGACTGGTTGGGGTCCTCAGGATGGTAAGAACCAATGAAGGCTGAAGGCACTTGGTGGTGATATTGCTGAAAATCGTTGTCAATGACTTGCGCAGATGCATTCACAGTCTGTGATCTTTCATATTCAATAAAACCCTATTGTTTTCCTATGTTACTGTTCTTTCTCCCTCATATTTCTGGTTATTATCATTCTTCCGAATCTCTTTTGTCTTCCTTTGTGTGATATACATGGAGTGTAGGGCTACACTTGTGTGCAAAGTTCTATATTGAAACCAGTCGGTGTGCGTGTGTGTGTTTTGAAGCTTGGGTATCGATGGGGTTACTAGCCCCCTTGTCGAACCCTCTATTTTTATTCTGGGCTAAGGACTGCCTAGTAAATTAGACGGTGTTTTTGTTTATGTAATATTGACCTGACTATATTTGTCTATTAGTTTAAAGTATTCTGATGTAAGCCATACTCTCTTCCTGTTTGTTTTTTCTATTTCTGAACTATGAAGTTTATTCTAAAAATAACTCACTCTTAAGCACAAAAAATGAAGTTTTTGTTTTGTGTTATCTATAATCTGTGATTAGGTCATGAATTTACAGTTTAATGCAACTTGAGAAACATCAGTTGAGAGAGAGTGGTATATCGTTTCAAGGTGACACAACTCGTTCCAAATTGTCTTTAGCGACTGATGAATTGACTTGTCACCAGGGTACAGTCTTATCGACTTAGTTTATGTGGATGGTATTATCCCTCTCGATTATGACGCTGACAAAATGTAGAGTCTTCTGAACACCTTGAGTGAAGATCTTAGTATGTTTAGCTTGCGATTTGACCTTGTTAAATGTAAGTTGATGCTACAAGACAGGACTACATCGACTCACTCCTAGTTTAAAGATAGAGAGTCTAGCGGTGATTTGACAGGTCAATCCATGAAGTTGTGAAACCATATCGTTTATGATATAACATGTATATGAATGATAAGCGTATTGATAGTTCAGGAGTAGCATCTGCGTCAACTATGCACTTGGTGTAGGGTTGGATTCATGGCTGACGCACTTCTGAACCTCGCTTAGTCGACATATTAATTCAAGAAATTGGGAAGGGTGAGCGTCAGGCTAGCACCTCAACACCGTAAGAACAATGATACCAATCTTCAAAGCTCAAGATGGGAAGCATATTTTTTACTCGGAACACAAACCTAGTCAGAGAATGCACCTGGGCACCTAATGTGGGCAAAACGTGGGCTAAATAGGTAACTTTGATCGGCAAATAGATGGGCAGAAGAAGGTAAAAATGCTACATAATTTACCCACTTCACCCATATTGGTCACTTTTTCCCCGTTTGCCCATTTCCCGAAAAATTTAATTGTCCCACTTTTTGCACAATTTGCCAACACGACCCACGTTTTCAGCCATTTATCCTATGTGCAGGAAGTCAAAAATTACCCACTTTTTCCCACTTTGCCCAAATTTGAACGGAAAACTGCTCACGTTTTTACCCACATATCCCAGTTCAAAAAAATTCTCCGACTTGAAAGGGATAAAAAAACGGTCCAATAAAGTTTGCTTTGTTGAACGTTCAATGTACATGTGTGTGCTTGTGTTCCATTAGGAGAAGAAATGTACCAATGAGTAAAAATAATAGTTGATTTCAACGGCTTCATTGTAATGGATTGTTTCTCAACACCTGTAAATATATTTCGTCTCACATTCAGCGTAGTTCAGCAAGGTACCTTGTAGGAGTATGGATTTTGATTGTCCTCAAGTTAGATTTCATCACGAATCAATAATGATTAAAGAACTCATGAAACATTAGACAACTAACTGCTTCGTTATATTTTAAGACTCTTCGGCAATAGTAGTTTTAATAAGAAGTCATTTAAAGTGAGTTCCACTCTCACCAATAACATTGGCTATCGGTGGTGCTATATTGCTTTTGGTAACGTGCTTACCTGGTGTCCTGAAGGTTTTTGGGCTCGTTCCCTGGTAGAGTCATGTGTGTTCTGATGAAGAGTACCAATTTAGGACGAAACAACTATCCAAAGCTTTTTGAATTTCACTGATTCTCGGATGGATTAAGTATTTTCATTGTCAAAATTGTATCCAAATCGACCATCTTCAGGCTGAATAATGGTATTACTCAAATGGGAGATAAACTCTACCTAGCAGCGTCACTTCTATCTGCTTCTAGAAATATAGTTACTCCCGTAAAGAAAGCTCTATGTAGGATAACTAACTGGGCAGTTTAACAAACGCATTATTGAGCACCTTCCTTCATGGTTCTGAAAATACCAAATAAAAGTTACAACAAGCCCTATTATGTTTCATTTGTCATTGTTAAAATTTGCTGAATGGACAGAACAAGCGCTTATAAAGTTATCTATTGCATTCTGTCCAGCCTTTGAAATGTAATTCGAACTTGGCGTTTTTTATGCACATAGCTGAAACAATGAAAATTCAGGTGAATCACCAAGCCCCTCCGATTTTTGTCTACGAAAGAAGTTTGTTCTACCTTTACCTCTCCCTTTCTTCACTCTCTCTCTCTTTCTCTCTCCATATATATATATATATATATATATATATATATATACCCAGTTCATATTTTGTATTACGTAACCCTGACAAGATTTTAGCGTAATTTAATTATTCAATTGTTTACGTAATATCATACTTTCTTCATTATTCTTATTGTCGTCACCTGATGAATCAGCTGCTTGTACTTTTATTATCATTAGCCTTATTGTTATCATTATTATCACTATTATAATCATAATCGTTGCGTAATTAATGACATTTTTACAACATTTAGCATTTTTGATTTTGTTCACATATTCGTCATCATTGGTTAAAAAATTTCTTATACATAAACCTATGTGCGTCTGTCTGTCTGTTTTCGATATAGAACTTTGCACAGATGTGCACCAGTTCAAGTCGCCACACCAGTTAGCACACAGCCATAGAAAGTAAAAAGAAGTGCAAAATAGACAGTAAATAGAGATATGAGGCAAAAAGAATAGTAATATCGAAGAACAATATAGTTTCATTGGGTATTGTAATTCACAAGGAGTGGATGCATCTGCGTTAGCCATTGACAACGACGATTTTGAGCCACATCACCGATTGTCCCCAGCCATTGGTTTGTGTGGTCCCGAGGACCCCAACCAGTCAAGAAGTCTACACCTTCCTAGGTGACTGGCTGGCTAAAACTAACTGTTGTGGATTTCATTGACTGATGAAGCCATGTTCTGGTTTGACCACCACTACCCTTCTCTTTTTCAACCTGACCCTATGTCAGCTAAGATTGCCCATTGTCGAGAAAGGTGGTGGATGACTAGGCATGCGTAACACATGTCCTAACATGTGCGTCTGTGGTACAGATGTAAAATGCTTTCAAAACATTCACATAGTCTTGGGTTCAATTCTCGGCCACCGACGCATTACAAAACCTCTCCAAGCTAGCTAGTGAAGTAAGGCCGGTGAAGGGAGAATGTCGGCCGATAAGCCAGCAACCTCACATTTTGTAAAGAGAAAACATCACCGCCAATGAAATTTCACAGCTCAAATTCGAAGCCTTACGTTCCACTCGGAACACAAAGGAGAAAGAGAGATGTACATTAGAGTAAAGTCTGGGTAATATCTAATCGCAAAAAAAAACAATATTTGCTTTTACTGCCTTGTTGTAATTCTCTAACTGATATCGGTTCTCAACGTTAATCTACCTTGATATCGATTTGTATTTAAAACAAAACATGTGACAAAGATTTTGGTCAAACTTCAAAATAACTCGAATTTCTATAAACTAACTCTTAATTAATCTGTGACTGTCTACAAGATGAAGTTACTTGGCATTTTAATGAGAAGTCGTCACCATTTGGGTTCATCCGATCGGGAGTGAGGACAATTACTCGCCGTTGATGATATTGCATGGTGATCTCGCTAAAATCACGACTTGGTAGAAATTAGAATTCATAGGTCATTGAGTTAGATCCTAATGGCTGAATCAATGGTTTACGGGCTTGACTTGTAGGCGGAAAGTATTAGGTTCGAAGCCCCTGTGGAGTGGGTGCATATTGCTGATGTGTCCCAAACTGGTGGGATGAAACATCTATCCAGTAGCTGTTTTCACTGTGTCTCTAACCGATATCAATCCATGGTAGAAAATGAAAAGGTTTTTGTCACTGTTTTAATAGCAAATATTGTTTAGAAGTCTAAATATATGCCCGTTATACATTTTTCTAATGAGTATTAACACTAAGTTCCTGTTTTTTATTCCTTAATGTTCCCAGTGGAACATAGGGCTTCAAGCTAGAGGCTTGAAGTTTCTGTAGCAATGGTGATTGTTTTTACAGAATGGGTTTGTTAGCCTCATGCCCAACCTTCCCTTTTTGCTACTCTTACTACTAGCTTAGCGAGGTAAGGGAATGCGTTGGCGGGGGATCGAACCCCGGATCACCTGCATGGTCGGCGGGCGCTCAACCGCTGTGCCACCGACAAACAAATTCCAGTTATTCTTTATCAATTCATACTATTTACTAGAAGATTGCCATATCAATTTGAGCGTAAATTACATAATTACTTTCAAAGCTTGTTATTCACAAATTCAAGTGTGTAGTTCAACAAAGGCGAACAGGGATTCTAACGTATTGACAAAACAGTCTAGCTGGACTAATCATGGACTGTCTAGCGAAAACGGGAGGAGCATTAGTGTTGCATGACCGAAGAGCGCAGGGAATAACTGCTTGGATTTTTGTCCATGTGCAAACTTTACTGCATGCTGCCGCTGAGTGAATCGGCATGTAAACCCTTTGCGATCGACTTTTTCTAACGCCTCGTCCCCAGAGCGGAGAGACAGGCTTACTGGTTATCGGAGGGAAACATTCTACTGCTGACACTCTCCTATTCCTTAGCAGTACGATTATGCCCTCAGACCTGCAGCAGCGTGAGCGCTTTATCCTATGATGGTAACTGGTTTTAGTTTAACTGTTATCCTCCGAGTGGTCTTACTGGCATGGTCTAACCTGCGCCAGTATAGCTCGTTGAGTCATTGCAATATGCAAACTGAACCACCACGTCGATCTAACAGCTATCAGTTGGGGTTCTCTTCAATAACCAGTCACCATAAATGTTTTCCACTATCTATAGTGTGTTTAAATCAAGTTAACTACAAACTACTACATATTTGTAAAGTCAGTTTAAACAATAATGCACATGTTAAATCCTGTATAGCCAACGTGACTTAGTATGATAGTGGTTTGTAAACATTCGTCTTCTTTTAACCTGTTTGTCTTGTCATGTTTTTTTTAACGTTGGTGTGTGTTGATAGTTTAACCTTGTGATATGTGTTCATCATCATGTGACAATGATACATTTTATTGGTTTTCGGTATTTTTTTCAAAAAAAACACAAAAATCTCTTATCATTTTCAGCTGCTTTGTTCTATGTAAACAACCTGTTGTGGCATGGTAGTGCTTTACAATCAGCTGATCGTCGCTGATGTCATTCAACTAAAATCTACCAATCAGAGGAGTGTTTAATTCTCCAACCTTGAAGCAACCAATCAGAGTGAAGCGAGCTACTGTTATATATATACACACACACAAAGTCATGGTATATTTTATGAAACAAAGAAGTTTAAGTATACTAAACAGGATGAATTTCTTAAAAAACATGTTTTGAAAACAATCGTTGAAGGGTTGGGGGTTATGCATATATGTTGATTAACTTTTTATCGTCAGTTTAGAGATAATACGTTAAGGAGAGAGAGATTAGGCTTTTGGATATCATTGGTGTCAAGATTTAATCTAAGGCACACTATTCCTTAATTTTATTTTGTATTTTTTCCCACCCAGATTTTCCTTTTGTAGCAGAAATTTTTTGACTCACGGTTTTTTGGTGCTTCTTCACGAGTAATAGTGGGTTTATAGCTTATCCCAACAACAACAGTGGGGCTTAATATGGCACCATAGTTCATTGCTATGAATTATTAGTTTGGGCGACATAAAAGTTCCTGCTGGTATGTAGCCCAAAATGTCACCTCATAGTTCATATCTAGGCTGTGGGTCTCAGAGTTAAACACATAAAATTTTCTATTTTTGGTTTGCAGGGATTTGATTGGTTTCAGGATTTTATTATGACATGATATCGGTTAGAGAACCATTGGAATCCACCAGGGAGTACTGGACAACTGTTTGGTCCCACTTCGGGACTCTTCAGCAGCACCCACCCGCCACCACATTTCGAACTCAGGACCTTCTGGTTACAAGGCGAGCTCGTAGACCATTAAGCCACTGGAACCCGATACAATGGCCATTACATGAATTCCAACTTCTGGCAATTCATGATTTAGCGCGAATGGCTCTAGGCAGTGTCATTGCTGGCGAGTATTTGTCCTCACACCCGACTTGCTGTACCTCACTGGTCACGACTTCCCATTAGAACCCAGGTAAATACCTCCCTGAATAGGGCTAGTCGTCACTAGTGAGCATCAGGCTGATATTTTCATTTCATAGTTTTATGCAGCGATATATATAAGTATCCAATTGCATCAGAATCGCTCAGTTTCTACTCGTATCCTGGTAGCGTTCTTTTCAGACTAGGGTATTTAGGAGTATGGTTTAACTTCTCCCTATTTTAGTTGTTGTTATATAACTACCTTTCTGTATTATAACTGGGACTAAACAGCTGTCCAGTACTCCGTGTGTGTTTTCAATGGTTCTCTAAATAGTATCACATTCCGTGACAAAATTTGAAGTAAATGTCACATTTCGTCCTGGCTTTACACACTCTCTAACTGTCTAGTGCCCCTCCTTTGGTTTTCAGTGACTCTCTAACTGATGTGTTCTGGTTTGTGATGAAATCCACACTGAAAGTATTCCTTATCTCTCTATACAAAAGCCAGGTCATTACTAGCTACTGGATGGATGTCACGAAGTTCTAGCGAGGACGTCGTGTGAGACTAGTGGGATCAACCATGTCAGTTGTGAAGCGGATGCTCATTGATGCCATTGTCTGACGTCAAGGCTATATCCCGGATTGAATTCATGTGTTACTGAAATCCAACTGACCCAGTTTCTCAATGGTCAACGAGGTTCCGGGCTCGATCCCTGGTTGAGTGAGCACTGTTGAAGGGTCCCGAAGTGGAACTCCTTGTGTGTTTTCAGTTGTTCCCCAACTGATATCAGTCTGTGGTCAGACTTCTAATCCTAAAAAAGCAAGAAAGTTAACTGTGTGATTAGCGCAACCCCCAAGCTTCGTAAATAACCACTCCATCACTAAGGAAACTTCTTCGCTGGAATCGGGGTGGGGGTGGGGATTTCTGAGTTTGAGGACGGATGAAACCAGTCGTCGATGAAAGCAAAAGCATGAAATGTCCCATGTTTTAGGCTGATTACAATTTCCTAAGATGCAAGTAGAAATTTCATAATCATTATTAATCATCCCTTGCCTACCGATTGGAATTCAGTGCCGCCAACGCCACAGCTGCAATCCTACTCCATGGTAAAGCATCACTTTCATCTGGTTCCCTGAGTGTTGTGTCGAATACTCCCTGGTTTTTCTGCTTAATACCAATCCCTACAAACCCTACAAAAGTCTGAATAGTAATCACTATTGATATTTATCCCATGACATGTTAACAGTTGTGATGATGATTTGTTTGCTTTTCTGTGGTTTGATTCTCATTTTTATTATTGCTGTTTTGTTGTTGCTATTCTCTGCATTACAGGTGGATAGTTATCCTCTTCTAGCTATGATTGTCAAATTATCTGGTCAACTGGAAGTATTGTGCATTGTAATGGGTACAGGAATTGTAAAAATGTGGCCATTAGATCCATTTCCCCCATTGGGTGCACATAATCCTTTGACATTATCAATGAATCGTTTTACTGAACAGCGACAAGTCCATGATAGTGAGGCTTCAACTGCAAATGCAACTGCAACACCAACGGCAATAGGCAGTTTAAAAGCTGATGTAATTGTTGCTGAGCTATGGCAAGCTTATACAAATTATCTTGAAGTCTTAGAACCAGAATGTGCTACAGAAAGAGAATTAATCGCTCGTCGACGTGTTCTGGAGGAACAAGAAGCTGCTTATGAAGAATCACTGCGTCGTGATCAACAAAAGGTGAGGCTGTATCGTTTAATTTCATATATATATATATATATATAAATATAATTCCTTTACGTTCCCCAGGACTTCAAGCTACAGCTTTGAAGTTTCCGTAGCAGTGGTATTCATTTTTAACGGTATGGGATTGCTAGCCCCATGCCCAACCTTCCCTCATTAAAAGTCTAATTACTGTCTTAGCGAGGTAAAGGAATGCGTCGGTGACCGGGGATCGAACCCCGGACCACATGAGTGGTTGGCGAGCATTCTACCGCTGTGCCACCGACGCATATATATATATATATATATATATACTGAACGCATAAAATGAGACATGTAAGTGCTTGGTCGGTCATACCATTGTATAGTGCCCGACAATTAAAGGTGGTAAGGTGTAAATATGAGGTACATGTGGCCATAGCGGGGGTTTACCAGTGTTCCCCGAATTCAATAGCATGTCAGTTTACCGGTCAGAAACGTTTTTCGTGTGCTTATGGAAGTATGTGTAGGCGCTTATTACTTCTGCGGTACTCGCACACAATAGAAGTTGATTTCTTTCGGGGATATCTGAAACAGCAAGGAGCTTGAGTGCTGCATAGCCGCATTGCTCATAGGACAACTGCTTGAGGTCTGTCACACCATCCTGTTTATAGTCATTTTTGGAGTTGTTTCTAAACGCAGATCTTACCTCCAGCTATTGACTACAAGGTAAGCCGGTCGACATCATAGCTGTCTTGCTGTTCTACAGAGGAGGAAACACCTTACTACTGTAACATCTCTATCTACTGGCAGCACAACTTTGCTCTCAGATCCTTAACATGGTGTGAACCACCCAGAGTATCCAAACGACTTTTGTAGCATGGTAATACCTATAAGAACATTAATTCCGACCAGTGTACCTCGATCGGTTATTGCGATAGGTAAGCCCAACCACCACGACGTCAAGTTATCAGTCAGCGCTTTACGCAAGGTGAACTAGGTTACCATCATCCTGGGTTGTGCCAAACTATTGTTTGTGTGTGTGTGTGTGGATTCAGTGACGATACACACAACTCTTCGTTTAACACGATCATGATATGAGCTGACCAGCTACGGCCTTTTCCTATCAGCTGTTATAATCATCATATACTGAATTAGAAGTAGTAGAGCAGGTTGGGTATTGTATTTCAGCTTCATCAATCACATATTACATCAGTCAATATTCTACATGCCGAACCGTCGTCTTCATCGAACAATGTTAGCTGGAAAAAAGTTAGAGGGGTGGTCTAATCAAAACCTGACATCAGTTCATAAAAGTCATTGACAGTTGGTTTTATGTAGTTACATAGGGAAGTGTAGACTGTGTAACTGGGATACTTACTAAGGACCAACCCAATAAGACTGTTGTTGATGACATGGTGCTATTGTTCTTCCTCCTCACGTACACTTCTACTTCTTTTACTTCTTCTGAATCTCTTTCCTCTACCTTTGTGTGTGTGTGTACTACAAGAAGTGAAGTACTGCACTTCTATGTAAAGTTCTGTATTGAATCTTAGACAGTCAACAGTTAGTCAAACAATCTAGGTCAAATAACGAATTTTTCATACATTTATTCCCCTTAATAAATTTGAATGAAGTGAGAACTACAGTTTTGGCAGACTAAAGTGGTACCGTCACATCGTTTATTTCGTTGCCCTCTCATCAGCTGTTCACAGGCCACAGTCATAATCAAATATATCTACAGAAACAATTTTAACATACTTGCACAGAGTTCATTTTAAGCAAAAATCAATCAGTCGATCAATATATACATACAGTAATAATATGTAATATTCAACACTATTCCGAACAATAGTGATCATACACAATGGAAACTCTCGGCATTACGTATTCAGCTGAAAGAGAGATGAAAATATTTAGTTACCAGGCTGGGAAAAGAAAGACTGATAACTGTTTCTTTCTGAACGAATAAATCAAGTTTCAGACGTTTGATGGAGATGGCTTCAGCTAAGTTTGTTCCCGTCTATCGAACAACTTGCTCTCCTGTGATGCAATCAAAAATCGATAGATATCCTTCTCATGTTAACTCCAACTGTATATGCAAATTTACATGTATCTGCGGGAGTAGTTACATTGGAAGGACAGAAAGAAGACCATATCTACGATTTTCTGAACATGTAACAAAAAGCCTATGTCTAAAGGGAACAAATTCTTTAAACAGTACCATCACCAAGCATCTTCTTGACGCGGGTCATGCTGTGGACGTCGCAAAATCGTTCACAGTTATCAATAAGCAAAGAGGTCAATTCTCCTGAAGTTTGCTAAAGCCATCTCCATCAAGCGCCTGAAACTTGATTGGTGCGTTCAGAAAGAAACAGTTATCAGTCTTTCTTTGCCAACCTGGTAACTGGATATTTTCATCTCTCTTTCAGCTGAATACGTAATGCCGAGAGTTTCCATTGTGTATGATCATTATGGTTCGGAATAGTGTTTAATATTACATATTATTACTGTATGTATATATTGATCGACTGATTGATTTTTGCTTAAAATGAACTCTGTGCAAGTATGTTAAAATTGTTTCTGTAGATATATTTGATAATGACTGTGACCTGTAAGCAGCTGATGAGAAGGCAACGAAATAAACGATATGACGGTACCACTTTATTCTGCAATACAAACTGTAGTTCTCGCTTTATTCAAAACAAATTCTTTCATTAATAATTATTATATGATTATCCCTTTACGGTTATATAACTCTTTAATAATTATATGTGTAATGTAAATTCAATATATTAAAAAAGAATAACACATTGACCAGTGAATCTACATACGTGTAGACGTGTATACTTACGTTGGATTATTTGACTGGCATTCTAACTTACGTCGGTGTAATGCGGGTCATTGTGGTGGTAGTGGTTGCGTTTGATGATTTGTGTGTGAAATAAAGTTTTTTTTTCATATACTTGGTCATTGATTTGTTTGCATCCGTTTTTATATCTTTTATCTGGCGTCATTTGTAGTACAGGTTATATAGCTATATATGATGGAGAAGTTAATTTGCGAAGCTTTCATCGCCCCACCACTAGGCAGCAACATCTTCAGCGCATACTTCAATTTGAATTGTAGTGGGCTTTTAGATTTCTCCACCAGTTTATTAGTCATCTCTCCTGGTGGGTGACGTTGAACGTCGCGATTAGTTGTTTTTGTGTTTTCACACCCTCTAGGCTACTTGTATTGGTATTGATGTTGATTGTTCCCTTGACCTGAAGTTTAACCCTTTGTGTGTATCATTTCCTTCTTATCGATCGGTAAATTTTCTCTATCTCGATGTATCTATTGATTGACGAATCACTGGAGTACCAGGCAGGCTTCTAAAAATTCTCTAGCATTCTTGGTGTTTCCTCTGTCTAATATTTGAACGTTGGTTGTCCCAATCGAATTAATGTTCGTGGCTGTCTCTGTATGCAGCGACATGAGTCAGGGAGTGGATGTCATGTCTTTTGAAGACAGTGCCAATACACAAGTAGCCTAGAGGGTGTGAAACACACAAAAACAACCAATCACGACGTTCAAGTTCCCCCACCAGGAGAGATGACTAATTAACTCGTGGAGAAATCTAAATGCTCGCTTCCTTCAGATTGAAGTATGCGCTGAAGATGTAGCCTAGTGGTGGGGCGGGGCAATGAAAGCTTCGCAAATAAACCATCCAGCTAGCTCAGAGAACACAACTACATCAACATATAGCTATATCGATCAAAGCACGTGGATACTGTCCGGCACCTCTTTCTCTGTGTCCTTCTTTATGTCTGAAGAGTTTAGTCGTTCTGGTTGTTGTTGTCGTCGTTTGTTTTTTACCACAACTCTGTGCGTTCTATCTCTCTTTCTTAGATGGTGCGACATAGTCATTAATTAATAATGACGTTAGGCGTAGACTGAGTTTTAGGTAATAAAGGGGAGTCAATCGATAAATTGTGATGCTGTATCGATTCAGATAACTAGAATACCTGTTATTATAAATAGCCAAGGCATCATCTTCCTCGAACAGAAATTTTAACTGACATTGGATTGGGTTGGAAAAGAGTCAGAGATGATGAAACTAATTCACGAATTTTTTGACTATTGGTATGAGGCACTCATTCTGAGGAGATGTAGACTGGCTGTGGAAACTGTTTAGGATCTGGTTCAAAATATCACTAACAGTCTCTAGGTATTGGGTCTCGCAGTGTGTGTGTGTTTACGTGTATTAAAACAACAAAGTCACCCTATTATTGTTTTTTCTAATTGTTATGACGAAGTGACAGTGATCTGTCCAGTTTGTCTAACTTGACTAAAATGCGCCTCCAGACAAAGCACTATAAATTCTCCTAAAAATATCCCTTACAGCTGGAAAAACACAAAAATTAGACTGGGGAAAAACGACAACAACCGTGGTATTATTATTTATTTAAGCCATAGATTAATATACAAATCTGATTGGTTATACACGACAGTCCCTCAGAAGGTGAAGCCATAAATCAACCAATCAAAAAACTGACCAATCAGGTTATTATGTCAGCATATGTCTAAATCATGACTTCATGGTTAGTTAACAAAGAAGCTTGTTGTCCGTATTAATAGTAATTTTATATGTATCATAAATGTATATTTTGTCTAGTCAAAACAAAAACAAAAATAATAAAAGGTCACCTATCGACCATATGCAAGTACACCACGAAGTCAAGGTGTTTATCAGTTCGATCACATGATGAGGCAATAAAAGTATCATTATGCAAATACTGATAGTCGATTGTTGCTGCAGTCTAGAAGTGCAATATTGAAGATAAGAAAAAAAGTAATACACAAATCTATAACAGAGTGGGAAATGGTTCAGCAGCGATAGAAAGCACGCCAACCACCACACCTTAAGTGATCCGGGGTTCGACCTCCGGTCACTAACCGACTCCTAAACCTGGCTAAGCCAGTAGTAAGCCTGGTAGAAAAAGAAAGTTGAATGGGACGCAAATCACCTCACTCCGTACCAACAACAGCATCACGAC